CTGCCACTTTCACAAGCTTTCCTGCTCCTGATTATTGGGTGGTGCTGCTGCTCCTGCCAGCCGCCATGTGGGAAATGGGTCTTCCCTCCTCTCCTGTGGAGTTTTCCTCCCTCCACCACTCTCACCAGCTTTCCCACTCCTGGTTGCTGGGCGCATGCCCCTCCCCCGCCAGAGCCTCTCCAGCTGCCCGGCTTATTTATTTACAGTCCCGGGAAGGATTCCCTTCCTCCAATCTTGGGTGCTTAGTGCGCCCCACCCTCTTTCCTGTGTGTCTTTATTGCTCTTACTGCTTATTACTCAGTTTCTCTTTTTTCCCTGGGTGGAGGTCAGTCTGTCCAGGGAGCTATGCTGCTCTGGCCCAGGCTTGTCTGTGGGAGAACCGTGGTACTGCGAAGGTGACCTGGTCCGGTCTTCCCAAGCCTTCTGGGCGCCAGTGACTGGCGGCCCTGGGGCCCTCCTTGTTTTTCTCTTTAACGTGAAGTGGAGATTCTCTGCGTTGGCTGGAGATGTGGAAGGGTCAAAGTTATGCCTTTTCTCGGTGATTATGCCTGCAAAGTGTGTCTCCGGAGTCTCTCCAAGATTTCACTATAGGAGGCTCGCTTTCAGCTTCCTCCCTCTAGCCGCCATCTTGGAATCCCTGCTTTTCATTTCTATGCTTTTGGGGTCTTACCCCAAAATATTTGCTGATATTGGTGTCTTGAAATGTGTTCTTGTGGAATACCTTTTTCTATCCTTGCATTTTTAGCTATTTGTGTCCTTAAAGCTAAACTGAGTCTCTCTGTGTAGGTAATGTGCAGTTGGATCTTGTTTTCTTTTTATTCAACCTTTCTTTGTCTTTTGATTGCAAAATTTAGTCCATTTACATTTTAAGTAATTAGTGATTGGTGAAGACTTTCTGTTGCCATTTTGCCAATTGTTTTCTGACGTTTTATTACTACTTTATTTCATCCTTCCTCTTGTTATAATTTCTCTTTTATGATTTGATGAATTTGTGCAGTGCTGTACTTTGGTTCCTTTGGTTTTTTTGTCTTAGTCTTAGGTATTATGTATTTTTCTTTACTGTTATTACAAGAATTACGTAAAACATCTTATTTTATAACATTGTATTTTAAATATAAAAATTTAACATTGACCGCACACAAAAGCTTTACACTTTAGTTTCTCCTCTGACATTTTATTTTGTATATATAAGTGTATGTATTTTATACCTTGCATATCTATTAGCTAACCTTTTGCCCTTTAACTTTCATAATAGAGTTATAAGATTTTTGTGTATCACTATTACAGTATTAAAATATTCTGAATTTGAGTATACTTTTACCTTGATAATGAGTTTTATACTTAATGTTTTCACATTTTGTTAGGTAGCAAGCATTCTTTTGTTTCAACTTGAAGAACTCTCCTCAGCATTTTTTGTAAAGCATCCTACTTTTTAATTTTAATTGACAAAGTCTGTCTCTTATTTCTGAAGAATTGACTTACTGGATATAGTATTCTTGAACTTGTTTCCCCTTTTTTCACTTTGACTATATCATCCCAGTCTCTATTAGCCTGCAAAGATTCTCCTAGCCTGCTGAGAAAATAACAGGTAGTCTTAATGGGGGTTGGGGTGTGGGGGCAGGTTTCCTTGTATGTGTTGAGTTGCTTTTCTATTGCTACCTTCAAAATTGTGTTGTTGACTTTCTGAGACTGTAACGTGTCTTCACGTTTTAATCTGTTATATTTAATCTGTTGGGATGTGTTAGGCTTCATGGATCTGGATGTTCATTTTCCTCCAGTTTGGGGGAGTTTGCTATCATTTTTTTAATAATATTTGGTTACTTTTCTCTTTGCTCTTTCCAGAACTCCAATAATGCATTTATTGGTTCATTTGATGATGATCCATACATCGCAAAAGCTTTATTCATTCTTTTTACATTCTTTTTTCCTTTTGTTCCTCAGACTGGGTAATTTCAGATGGGCTCTTTTTGAACTCCCTAATTCATTTGCCTGATGGTGTACTGTGGAAGTTCTCTACAGAATTGTTCGGTTCAGTTATTGCGTTCTCTGGGTTGTTCTTACAGTTTCTTTCTCTTTGGTTATGTGTTGTTTTCCTGATTTCTTTTAGTTGTCTGTGTTCTCTCATACCTTGGTTTCTTTAAGACGGGTATTTAGAATTATTTGTCATGCAGGTTATAAATCTGTTTCTTTAGATTCTGACTGCTGGTGCTTTATTTTGTTCCTTGGGAGATGTCATGTTTCTCTGATTAATTGTGATCTTTATGGACTTGTGTTGGTGTCTGTGCATTTGAAGAAGTAGGCACCTTTTCCAGACTTTACAGACTGACTTCAGTAGGGAATGCCCTTCAGTCTGTTCAGAGATTCTCCACTCTCTGGAGTCTGTTGGTGGCCTTTCTGTTGGAGTTCTCTGGTAGGCTGCCCTCATGTCTGGGTTAGTGAGTTGGCAGGCCTGGGTCCATTGAGTTGGGCCTCAAGCCTGGATCCACAGATCAGGCTTGGAATATCAATTCACTGGAATAATCTTGGATTCTGGATGTATTGAGGTCCTAATGCCAGGGTCTACTGGCATGGACCTGTCAACTTGGTTCATGGGGATGAATATAGAACCTGTGTCGGTGGGGCAGGCCTGGCACCTTTGTGGACACTGGCCTAAAGTTTGTATGGGGACCAACTTGGTGCTGGAGTGGACCTTGAACCCAGGTTTATGAGGATTTTCTTGTCTCTGTGTTATGCCTGGATTCTGCATCTGTGGGACCTTGCCTGATGATAGGGTCTACTGGGGTGGGCCTGGTTTGGGTCCACAGTGGCTGTCCTAGGGCCTGGGTTTTAGTCTATTCTCATTCTCTCTCTCTCTCCATTTTTGTATAGTACTGCTCCTCCCTACCCTCTCGAGTCCCTCTTTTACTTTTGTGCTATGCCTGTGTCTTACCTTGATTCTGTAGTTTTGTGATAGTATTTTTATATATGGATTGTTGTAAAAAATAGATTTTTCAGCAGGGGGATGAGTGTTGCCATGTCCTAATCCAACATTTTGCTGACATCACTATCTGGTGCAGTGATTTTTTTTTTTTGGGAGTCCTGAGGAAGTTTGAACTCAGGGTCTACCTCTTGAGCCACTCCACCAGTCTTTTTTTTTTTCTGATGGGTTTCTTCGAGATAGGGTCTCAAGAACTATTTGCCCAGGCTGGCTTCAAACTGCAATCCTCCTGATCTCTGCCTCCTCAGTAGCTAGAATTACAGGCGTGAGCTACTGTGCCGGCTTGGTGCAGTGATTCTTAAAGATGGTGGTGCTTTTGACGGTGACTACCATAATTTCTTTTGCAGTTGTTTTTAAAACTATATTATTCCTGCTTAGATTAAATTAAAGTACTCACATGTCTCTGCTTGTCTCAGAGAATTGGAATGTGTTGAATAGAGAAAAGATTGAATACGCTGTATTATAGAAAATTCTTTTATTTAGACTTCTTGAGTATTCGAACTGATTTGCCTTAGATGATTACTGATGTAATAATGCTGTACATCAGTCAACCATAAAAACCTTAGTAAATCTTCAGTAATAAATTTCTTGTGATGCATCTGTGGGTGATATGGGTGGCTCTGCCTCAGGCTGGACACTCCAGATTGTCTTTGGTGAGTGAAATCCATTATCTCATTCTGGGGCCCTGGTTGTAGTGGCTGTGGCTATTCAGGTTATGACGGTGACTGCAGAAGCTGGGGTAAGCCTAGCTATGTAGCACATTTCAGTTTTCCCTTTGTGTTACATTTGCTAACATTCATTGGCCAAAGCAAACAGTGTGGCTGAGTTGAAAGCAAGGGGCTGAGAAGTATGGTTGTGTACCAGGAGAGCACATGAAATGTATTGTGGCTGTGATACAGGGAAGTAGAGCAATTCATTGTGACCCAGTGCCCAGCTCCCATAATGCTATTTTGTTTTTATCTCTTTTTTTGGAGGCGTCTCAATGTTCCAGTTATTTGTCCTCTTTTTGTCAAAGGGATATATCAACCCTCCCTTGTTGGATACATGAGAGGCTGCAGGTTGTTTATGAGATACAATTGTCTTCGTGTGAAATGAGAAGGAATGGAAATGTTAGAACTTTGGAGAGCGATACTTTGAGTCTTTTTTCTCCTTTCCCTTTTTATATAAGTATTATTAGCATATAGTGACAGTCTAACTTCTTCATTGGCATGAATTTAAATATCATCTGCATGCTGATATCTTTGTATACTCAGCTAATACAAATTTTGTTTTGCTTTTAGAAGTTTGAATTTTGTTCTAAATTTGGTTAGTATGACTTTGATTAGTTGAAATAATCCATTTTATTTTTAATACATAAACTCATCAAACAGACGAAGACATTTTAATTTTCTGGCTTACTCTTATATCTTGAACTTTTTAAAGAATGGGTACTATATTTTCTACCTTTGTAGTTTTCATTCACATTGTCTGTGAATAAAATTATGAGTTATGTGCTAGATTTGATCAAACCCCTGCATTAAGAAGAATGTGAGGTAGGTCATATTTTTCCCTTATGTTGTGACTTGGAGAGGAGACATTTTTCCCAGTTTTTCTGCCCCTTGTGTGGTAGATACTGTATTGTGAATTTCTCTGGGGTGTAAGTGGAGGAGAAGGAGTTTGCTGTGTGTTGCTGGGATTTTCTTTTTTCAAACTATGGTCAGTAGTTTTTAATCCAGTGTTAGAAATGAGTAGTGCTTGTATACCTTCAGCCCTGGCTAAAAAAGAAATTAGAAATTTTCTAGAAGGAGGTAACTTTTATGGTATTGCTGATAATCTGTAATAAGGGAAGGTTTTATAATTGTGTTTATTAGCTTGTTGAGTTTGTGCCTCAGGCTAATGGAATATGTGAAGGAACTGTGTAACACTGAGGTATATAATCTCTTTATCAAGCAGGTTCTAATGTGAGGATTTGTTTGTCCTGATAGTTTGAAACTATTTGTGAGCTTGGTTTGATCCATATTTTTTCTTTCACCCCCCTCTTCAGCCCCCTTCCTGTGTCATCCCAATCTATGGATACGCTATGGTGCTGTAGGATTTATCACAGTGGTAGCCCATCAAATAAGTACAGCTGATGTCTACTGTAAACTGATGCCTCACCTTGACGCATATGTCACCCAACCAATAATCCAGGTATGCATGCATATTCATTCCAACTTGGACTCAATCCTCTTTCAAACTTGTCTCCTTAAAATGTTGTTTAGAGGGTCCTGTTTTTAATATTTTTTAAAGATTTAAATTGAATATGACATTTTCATATTCTTTCAAGCTGCTTAATGTTAATGGACCAGCACTTTTGTAGGTGAGAAAAGTTCAAGAGACTAGTAGGTCATATACAGTATAGCATGTAGTAGTTCAGACTTTATTTTCTTTGTGTGATAATTGTAAAATGTCTGCTATTAAAATAAAAAGTATAACTGACTTTAGCCAAAGCCATCATTTATAATAATTTAGAAAAAAAATCTTTCAAAAAAAAATTTTTTTTAACCACTAACTGGTTCTTCCTTTTTAATCTAATGATTCTTTCCCTACTTCTGTCAGGGCAGCATTTGATGATAAGTTTTGCATCTTTGGTGTGTGCAAACCAAATTTTATTTTCCCAGATTGTCAGTGTTTATATTCTTCATCTTTCTGGAGAGCTAAGTATAAATATCAAAGAATGATTTTAGCTGTTCAAACAAACTAAAATGTCCTGTTTTTATTAAAACTCTTTTTCTCACTTGGAAATCTGCATCCCTCCCTGCCTTCCCCTGCATTTATATCTCAGTGCCTTTCCTTTTGAAACTCAGAGGCTTTGTGCTGTGCCCTAAGTTCTTACTTTCCTCATAGATTCATCAGTTTTAGGAATCATCATTCTTTATTTCATAATTTGTAGAATTTTTTATTTTTGCACTAAGAGCAATTTCTCTGCATGTAAAGGATGAAAATATGCCTTGTTATTTTTGAAGTTTATTTATGCTTTCATGGAAATCATGTATAGAAATGCTACTCCTTTGAATAGTTACTCTATTTAGCTTGTTAAACTTTACTTTTATTGCTGCTTTATTTTTTGAAAGGCCAGAATCAGGAATTGAAGGGCTAATTATCTATTTGTTTTATAAATCTTACCTTTTTACATTTTGGATTAGAAAGTAGATACTCCTTTGTTCTGGTTTCCACTGGTCAAGTAACCATTTAGTTAAATATAGAAAATGCTTTGAGCCAAGCATGAAGGTGCACACCTGTAATCTCAACACTTGGGAGGTGAAGGCAGGAGTAAGAGTTCGAGGCCAGCCTGAGCTTATAGGGAGACCTTGTTTCACAAAATCAAGGGCTTGAGAAAGAAGCTTTGTAGTAGAATGTTTGCCTAGCATGTGTCAGGCCCTGAGTTTGGTTCCACACTGGGGGAAGAAGTCCTTTTGGTTACTGTTACTAATAGTCATCCTTTTTATTACATATGCATTGGCAAGAAAATTGTTGTCAGTCATGATTAAAGGAAGGATTTTTGAACTCCATGGAGAGAGTACTATTGTATGGAAGAGGTTGAGTCTGTTGGAAAACTGTGAAGAAAGATGAAGGAAGACCCGTGGTTACCGAGCATATTCTCTGGGTCTACACCTGTGTTATACCTGTGAACTGCAGGTAGTTTTTAAGACTAGGAAGTATTCTGACATACTAGAATCTAGAAAAGGTTCTTTTTGACTCTCTAAAAATTTCTAACTTGGGCATTTATTATTATTAGTCTTCAAGTATGATAGGTACAAATGTGTAGTCTAGTGGTAAGGATGAAAAGTAAGAAATACTTTAACCCTTGTAAGTATTTTTTATGGTGGGACTGGGGTTTGAAGTCAGGGCTTCACATTTGCAAAGCAGGTGCTCTAGTGCTTGAGCCATGTGCCTTTGGTCAGTTTTGATCTGGTTATTTTGGAGATGGGTCTCACAAACTATTTGCTTGGCCCAACTTCAAACCACTTCCTCCCTATCTCAGCCTTCCAAGTAGCTAGGATTACAGGCATGAGTCACCAACACCTGGCTTCACTAGCCTTTTCTTTCCTTCCCTTCCCTTTTTCCCTCCCCTCCTTCCCCTCCCCTCCCCTCCCCCCCTCCCCTCCCCTCCCCTCCCCTCCCTTCCCTTCCTTTTTCCTTTCCCTTTCCTCCTTTCCTCCTTTCCGCCTTTCCTCCTTTCCTCCTCCCCTCCCCTCTCCTTGTGGTACTCAGGCTTAAACTCAGGCTCTATACCCTGAGCCACTCCACCAGTCCTTTTTTTCTGGTGGGTTTTTTTGAGATAGGGTCTGATGAACTGTTTGCCTGGTCTAGCTTTGAACCATGATCCTCCTGAGTAGCTAGGATTACAGGCATGAGCCACCGGTGCCCAGCTAGTCTTATTCCTTTTTTTCTAAAAAAAAAAAAAGCAGCTGTTGAAGTCTCTCTCTTTCTTTTTTTTTTTTATTAAAATAAATACTTATGTTTATACAGGTTGTATTTACTGAATTTGAAAATACTTGTATTTGTACTATATGCTGTATTTTTGACTGATTATTTTTATTTTTCTAATATAGATTGAAAGAAAACTTGTTCTACTCAGTGTTTTGAAAGAGCCAGTAAGTCGTTCTATATTTGATTATGCGTTGAGGTCTAAAGATATCACCAGTTTGTTCAGACATCTTCACATGCGTCAGAAGAAGCGAAATGGGTCTCTTCCTGACTGCCCTCCACCCGAGGATCCTGCCATAGCACAGCTTCTGAAGAAATTGCTCTCACAGGTTGTATCACTTTTCTGAAGTCTGACATTTCCAATGCACATTTTCTAACTAGTGAAGCATCCATTTAGATATTGAGATGTTTTTGATTAGGTCACATCATGAGAAATGAAAATAAATCCAACAAACATTGCATGCATTTGCTTTGGTATCTCAGCAAAGATGCTAGGATGATGGATGATAAGGCATTGGGTTGGGCTAAATAAGGAGCCATGAAAGACCTGTTAAGTTTCTTCTGTGATTACTGGTCAGATAAATGAGTGAGTAGAAATGACCTTTGATTTAAATAATAGCCTTGATCTGGTTCTATATTTCATCAAAGTGTAATGAAATTTGCTAGAAGAAACATTTCAAAACACATATACGCTATAGAGAAATTCTGTTTCATTTCAGTCCAAATTCATAGAATTCTCACTACATGCAAGCAGCAGAAATAACTGGGAGTTATAATGTGTCTGAGGTTGAATAAACCAGCAGCTTACTGTTGTATCTTAAAAGCCTGTGAATTTGGATCAATTAGCAAATCTTGTTAGAACTAGGAAGCAATCTTTTTATTATTCTTGGCATTAGTAAGGCCTCATTAGAGATATTAAATTAGATTATTTCTAGAGGGATGTGTGGGATTAGAGTCAACATAGGATTAAAAATGGCTAGAAATAAAGACTGTAATTGCTGACTGTGTGCTGTATGGGCCATAAGGCAACTACTGAGGGACATTTTAAATGACTGGCTGTGATTGTGCAGAACTTTTTTTTTTGTTTTGCAGTACTGGAACTTGAACTCAGGACCTTCTCCTTGAGCCACTTCACCAGCCATATTTTTGTGGTGGGTGTTTTTGAGATAGGGTCTCACAAATTAGTTGCCCAGGGCTGGCTTGGAACTGTAATCCTCCTGATCTCTGCCTCCTGAGTAGCTAGGATTACAGGCGAGCCACCAGTGCCCAGCTTTATGCAGAGCATCTTTATAAAGAGAATGCTTGTCAGTTATCTTGTCTAACAAGATGAGAAGTTGCACTCAGTTCAGGGGGAGAATTTTGATCAGTTTTGCAGTGTGAATCTTTTCATGCATTGGGCTTGTCGCTGAATATCCAGCGCTGGGGACCGAACCTGGGCCTGTGCATGGCATGCTGGGCAGGCACTCAACTCTGGGCCACATGTCCATCCTGCAGTGCTGCTTCATGCCCACATGTTGGTTTGGGTGGTTGAACATTGAGCAGACTCTTGTTAGAGGCTGGACAATAAACATTTTGGTTTTTCATGTCTACATTTGCTGGGAGCGGGGGTAGGCAATAGGGCTGCCTTGGAATGTCTTCTAGGATAGTGGTTCGGTTGCTGTATTCTTGAATATTTTGATTAATTTGAATTTTTGAAGAACTTTTTCTTCAACTTTCTTTTAATCTTGTCTTTTACATTAAATGTGTTTTATATTATAGAAAGCAATTTATGAAAAATTAGGTTCTGAATCACATTTTTCTGTTGTTTGTCCTGAATAAGTAATCCTTATCAAAAAGATTGCTGCATGCAATAGAAACTGTTCCGATATAAATATTTCTTCGGGATTGCACATTGTGATTCTTTGTATTTCTCCCTTTCCTAGCCACCTGTAAAGCCCCCACTCCTACTGTGTGCCACATTGCCTCTCAAAATAAGAGAGAAGATAGAAAGCTCAGATGGGGAAGATTAGTGGGCTTTGCATGGACTTGGGAGGAAGCCCACATGTAGCTCATCTTCTCCAGCCCCTTGCTTTCCACCTTTCCTTCTTTTTGTTCTATGCTACCCGAGTTACTAAGAATTTCTAGCAGAAGGTTAGTCAGGGGAGACTTTGGAGGTAGGAATTGAGTCCTTGTTCCTAATGTTAAGGCTATAGAGGGAAGAGAGATGTTTTCAGCTTCTGTAAGTGAGAGCTCTGAATACTCCTGTAGAATTTCTTACTTGGGGTTCAACAGTGTTCATTTTGGACAGCTGTATACTTGGGTCATGTTATGAGTTAACAGGCTTTTCTAGACATGCCTAGCATTGTTTCTATGGGAAAGAACTGAGTTCCAGATAACAGACTTTCACACTTTTGGAACATTAACCATATGGGAGTTGGAATGTGTCTGGACTTCACATTTTTAGTAGGACTTACCAGGAGGAGATGGCACATGACTGAGCTGTTTTAGTTAGGTCTCCTCTGCAAGAACTCCCTGTTTTATTTTATCCACTTAATAAAAGGTGTTAGTAAAGGTATAGGGTGACTTCACTTCTTAAGTTAAAAAATGACAAGTGACATTTAAAAAATTTTTTTTTTTTTGGCAATACTGAGGTTTGAACTCAAGGCCTCTCATGCTTGCTAGGCAGGTGCTCTACCACTTGAACCACTCCTCCAGTCCTTTTTGTGTTATTTTTCTGGGTCACTGTGGACAAACCTTCCTATTTATACCTCCCCTGTCATTGGGATGACAGGCACACAACACCACACCCAGATTTTTTATTGAAATGGGGTCTCACTTTTTGCCATGGCTGGCCTCACTTCCGAATCTTTGCCTTTGGAGTAGCTGGAATTACAGATGTGAGCCACTGCACCTGGACCGTTTTTCATTTTTAAATCGATTTTTATTTTAGTAATTTTTGACAGCATAGTATAAACAGAAATGTAAAATTGAAAAGGTATGAGATGTACAATAAAACGTGGACTTTTGTACAAGCCCTGACCCTTAGATCTCCGGTTTCTTTCTCTGTTGACTGATTTTATGGTGTTGGGTGCTTGAAGTCCTTTATTGTTGAATTTGCTGTTGGACATTTATTTGACATCAGCTTTAGCCATTTAAACATTGTAGGACAGGTCCAGAGCACACTTTAGTTGGCCACTATAGCCCCACTACTAAGGATTTCTGAGGACATGAGGCTCTGTTTATATTGAGTGCTTTGGCCTTTGGCTAGTAGAAACATGGACTGGTCCCAGCCCTGTGAAAGCTGGGAATGCTTGCCTGCTTCTGGTTGCTATTCCCTGGTCTCAGGTAGTTTCCTCATGTGTGTGTAGTTTAATATTCAGCCAAAGAATTGAGTAGACCCCTCCAGCTCTCTGAAGCTCTACTCAGTGCCATCCCTCTTCTCCATGTCTCTGTGTGTCTCAACATTTAGCTTCATGGCTTTCTTGAACCCTGGTCTGTCTTTTGAATTTAGCGCTGTTGTACTCTCATTTGCTTCTCCTTGACCATGACCTGGAAATTCTCCAGACAAAGGGCTCATCTTAATCTTAGGGATCACAACTTGTGCTGGCTGTTTTCCCACACTTGTAAAGTGTCATTTCGTCTCTTTTGTCCAGTGTACATTTACTTGTAAAGTATCATTTCGTCTCTTTTGTCCAGTTTAGAGTCATTTACAGAGGAAGATTAAGTCTAGTATCTGTGATTCCATCATGGCTGGAGGCAGATGTTTGTGGGGTGTTGATGGGACTGTTGCTATATTGTTCTGTGGCTTAGGCTTGGCCTCTGCAGAACAAAGTCTCCCAGCTTTTTTTAAGATTATCTTGGCTGTGCTTGGTCCTTTGCATTTCTGTTTTCCATATGATTTTTAAAATCTGCTTGGCATATTTTACAAAAAAAGTTGTTGGTGTATTTATTGGATTGAGCATAGAAGAAAATTGAAGTCTTGTCATGGTCCATGTTTTCATTTATTTGTCTTTTTCATTCATCTTAGTCATGTTTTAATGGTTTAATTTGTAGAGTTTTGTACATCTTTTATTATAATGATTTTGACTGATTTTTAAAATGCATTTATACCTGGTATATTAAAATTTATTTTCTCTTTGTAGCTTATTAGATTTAATGTTTCTATATTTCTTTTGAATTTGTATCTATAGAGTCATATAGTGAATGAACAGTAACAGTATTCAGTTTTTCCAATCTGGATACCTTTAATTTAAATCACAGGATCTTTAGTACAGAACTAAATAGAATTGATAATAGTGGGCTTCATGTTTCTTGTCTTAGAGGAAAACTTTGAACACTGTACACTTAGTATGGTACTAGTTATTTTGAACAGTCTCTTTTTTAAAAATCAGATCTAAGATAATCCCTTCTACTCCTGGTATGCTATGAGGATCATTATGGAAGAATGTTATAAGATGCCTTTCTTTTTTTTTTAAATTAAGGTTATCATGTGGTCTTTTGTTTCTGTTAATGTGGTGAAATACATTGATCACTTTTCATATTTTAAACTTTTTTCCCTGAATATTTGCATAAACATACATTTGTCATAATGTACCTGTATATAAATGTGCTTTTATTACATAAAATGCATAAATAATATAAAATAGTAAATATAATACAGAGGTAATTATATAAAATATTATGTATATTAGATTTGGTTTGCTGATACTTTATTAGGTGTTTTTGTTATTTACATTCATGAACAACTTTGTCTTGTAGTTTTCCTTTCTTGCAGTATTTTGGTCAGTTTTTTTTTTTAAAGATTTTTTTTTTTTTATGCTACTGGGGTTTGAACTCAGGACTTGGTACTTTCTAGGCAAGTGCTCTACTGTTTGAACCATACCTCCAGGTTTTTTTTTTTTATTGGCTCTGGTTATTTTGGAGTTAGCCTTGCTTTTTGCCCAGGCCAACCTGGATCATGACCCTTCTCTTTTATGCTTCCTGACATTCCTGAGATAATAGGCGCCTACCACTATTGCCTAGATTTTTTCTATTGTTATGTGCTCTTGCAGATTTTTTTTGCCCTGGCTGGCGTGGAACTATGATGCTTGAGTTCTCAGCCTCCCATGTAGCTAGGATTACAGGTGTGAGCCGCCGGCACCTGGCTTTTTGGGGGGAGGGGGTTGAAATGTGTAGCTCAGTCTGGTTTGGAACTCATCTCTTGCCTCAGCCTCCTGAATACTAGATTGCGGGCATGTACCACCACATCTGGCTCATAAGTTATTTTTTTCTTTTTTTCCCCAGTGGTACATGAGGCATTCATTCCTTTTGGTTTTTTTGAGAGGAGGTCTCCCACCCTGTTGCCTAGGCTGGCTTGGAACTTGCTATTCAGCCCAGGCTGGAGGCCTCACCCTCAGAATCCTTGTACTTCAGCCTCCTGAGTGCTGGGGTTACTCTTAGGTGCCATGCCTGCCTAGTTCACTTTTATAAAGTGTAGGATTCATTGGTTTTTCATATATTCACAAAGTTCTGCAGTCATCACATTCCAGAAAATTGTGATCACCCCTGAAAGAAATCCAGTATCTATTAGCAGTCACTCCCCATTTTTCCTTTCTTCCCAGCCCCTGATCACTAATCTCCTTTATGCCTCGATGGATTTATGTGCTCTGGGTATTTCAAGTAAATGGATCCATATACTATGTGGCCTCTTGTGTCTGGCTTCTGTCAGTAATCTTAGTGTTTCCAAAGTCTTCCACGTTGTTGCATGCATCAGTGCTTCACTTCTCCTTATGGCCCTTCTGTTTATGGACAAACAGAAAGAGTAGAACTTTTACCATGCCTATAAAATTGTCTGTTTTAGTTGAATTTTGAAAGAAGTGAAAATATAATAAGAATCTCAAGTCAATACTGGGGAAAAATTAGTCAAGGATCCCTTTATGATTATTGTATTTAAAACAGTCTTATTTCAAGATTTTAGCTTTCTACCTTGCTAGGATTGCTTTGTGTCACACTGTGCTTGCAAATTGTGATTATTACTTTAAATTTTGCTGGGATTCTAGATTGAGGCCTTGGGGAACTGCCATTTTATTAAATGAATGTCTTTTATTCATTTGTATAATAGGAACTAGCGGATTCTGTGGATATTTGGAAAGAAGGAAATTTACCTAAATAATTAGTTTGTATATTGAATTAATTATTAATTGAATTCAAACATTCTAAATGTCTTTGGCAGATTAACACATTAAAATTTCACTGTCATCTTATAAGATGGGTGTTAGTAATTATCTTTACTTTATAGATAAATGAGGTAAGAAGAAATTGGGAAACTGGTGAAGGTCATACAGTAATAGAACTAGAATTTGAACCAAGGCCCCTTAACACTAGCTGTAATTGTAGAATGCTACTGGGCATGTTGCTACATTTTGTCATTCTGATTCTTTGGGTTTTAAATTGGGTGGTTGACCCTTTTGTTGTTAGTCATTCTGAGCTCTGCCACTTGAGCCATGCCTCTAGCCCAGTTTATCTTGAAAATAACCTAAAAATAATTACTTTTGAAAAGTAACCTAAAATGTATGGTTTTCTTTGATTTTAGGGAATGACAGAGGAGGAGGAAGACAAACTCCTGGCACTGAAAGACTTCATGATGAAATCTAATAGAGCGAAAGCAAATATAGTAGACCAGAGCCATCTTCATGACAGTAGTCAGAAAGGTGTCATTGATCTGGCAGCCTTAGGCATAACTGGGAGACAAGTTGATCTTGTTAAAACCAAGCAGGAACCAGATGACAAACGGGGTTAGTACATTGTGTTTTTATCTCATTATTTTTCACTGACTAATAATAAAACAAAAGGCCACTATCCAGATAGAGAATTTTCAAATATAGTGACTCCATTACTTAATATGGAGATGTGGGGAGGTAAACTCACAATTTAGAGATTAAGTAACCTGCCCAAATCACAGCTCTGGATGTGTCAAACCAAGACTTAACTCCAAAGCTGTACCCTTACAGTGAAATCTTCTTGTCCCTGTGGGAGTAGATTATTGAAGATGAAAATTTTTTATTCCCTTGACCACCAACTCAAGGCCAGTAGTCTGTGTAAAATGAGATAAAGGTTTCTAATTTGTTATTAGTAGGTAATGTTCAGCGAGTTTATAAGAATGGAATTATTATAAACAATGAAATACAAAAGAGTAGAGGCTAGAGACTCCTTGGTCATTTGAAGCCTTGGGATTTGGAAGTGTCAGTCCCTGTAACATTAACATTGAGTGTGTGAAGTTTTTAAGAGCTTATGCATACACTTTCTGCAGATACAGTCACTGCCAGTACACACCTTTAAAAATCCCTGTATTCCAGTATCATATTTTGAGGGTAGCAAATGAATTGTTCATATTTAGGATGAAGTATTTGCATCTTAATCACTAAAGGCTTATAATATATGAAGCACTCATACAAGTTAATAAGAAAAGAGCAAGCTTACCAAAAGAAAACGGGTGAAGGATTTGAACAACAATTAGAAGAATAGAAATATATATTTGTGTGTGTGTGTATCTATCTATCTCTATCTAAATTGAAGCATGCCATTTTTCTATGTGATTAGCATAGACAGATACTACCTAGTGTTAGAGTTGTAGGTAAATGAGCATTTTCATATACTGGTGGTGTATACAGATACATATATCTGCATAAAGTGCAGATCCAAAGGAACAAATAGGATGTGAAGTCCATTGTTGCCCCCTTCAAAAAAAGGCAATAAAAAAAATCACTTTTTTTGCTTGTTTGAAACAAAAATCTCAGGGTGAAAATCTCAGGGTGGCTTTGAACTTGTGATCCTCTTGCCTGAGTGCTGGGATTACAGGCATTTGCCACTGTCCCCTGCTCACATGCTGGTTTTAAAGGCTATCTTCAGGCTAGTTTGAATTTATGTTCAGAGCTAGAAAATATCTACAACAAGACTCAACCTTAAAAATTAAAAGGCTTTTGATGTATGCACATATGAATAAAAAAAAAGGCTTTTGACACTTGTAATTTAAAGTATCTTAACTGTTTGACCCAGTGTTTTTAGTTCTGAAAGTGTTCCTAAGAAACACTGACAGGCATGTGAAAAAAAATATAGGGATTGGGGATTTGGTTCAAGTGCTAAAGCAACTGCCTAGTAAGTACAAGACCTTGAGTTAGAATTAGAGTACAGTCAAAAAAAGAATTCTGAATGGAAGTAACTTTTTTTTGTGGTACTGGTGTTTGAACTCAGAGCCTACATCTTGAGACACTTCACCAGCCTTTTTTAGTGAAGGGTTTTTTTCCAAGATAAGTTCTCGAACTATTTGGCTGGCTGGCTTCAAACCTGATCTTCCTGATCTCTGCCTTTTGAGTAGCTAGGAATACAGGTGTGAGCCATTGGCATCTAGCTAGGAAGTAATCTTAATATCCATGAATAGAGGAATGGTTAAATAAATGCTAAAAGTATTTTGTTGAGAAGGGGAAAAAGCAAGGCATAAAACAGTATGCGTTCTGTTTTTGCAAAATAATATGCAATTAAAGTTTGTCAGGTTTACAAAGTTGGAGGACTATGCACCAGGTTGTTGGAATTGGGGGAGCTATTCATGTTCTATTTTGTTAATGTGAAAACTTTGTGTTACTTAATGTATTTTCCTATAATTGGATCATCTGTCTGTAGATGAGTGGTAGATCTATAGCAATCGATTTTCTAATTTTTGGGTTTTTTTGTGTCCCAAGTATCTGATACTGGGAATAGAGAGTTCACATTTAGCAGTGTGGTCAGTAACATTTGAAAAAGTATTTTTATTATTGCTTCTTCAGATAAAATTGTTATTTGAAATTGAACTATTTGGGAAGCCAGGAATAACCATTGAATGCATGTCTATTCCTTCTGCCGTAGAGATGAAGCAGGAGTTAATGAGTTGTTTCTGTAGCTGTGTAGATGAATAAAGTGGGGCTCCAAAAGAACAAATAGGATGTGAAGTCCATTGCTGCCCCTTCAAAAAGGCAGTGCAGTCACATGCTGGTTTTACAGGCTACCTTCCTACCTCTAGACTAACTATTCTGAATGTATTTCATAGCTAGGAAACATGTAAAACAAGACTCAAATGTAAATGAAGAATGGAAAAGCATGTTTGGGTCACTGGAACCACCGAACATCCCCCAGGCCCTGCCCAAAGGGAGTGAGCAGGAAGTGATTCAGACTGGGAAGCCTCCTCGTTCTGAGTCCTCTGCTGGCATTTGTGTCCCCTTGTCAACTTCTCCACAGGTACCATCACCTCAGCAATAGCCCTCCTTATGTCTCTCAGTTCTGTTCATCTTGGATATGTAAAGGTTGTGTACTGTACTAGAAAAATCATTATGGTAACTTGTCCTGCAGGGAGATTGTAGTTCTTTCCAAGATAGGTGTAATTTTATAGCTTAGGGGAAATGTTATTGAAAACACTGAAAGTGTTTCATTTAAGAGTACTTGCCAATAAAGTGAACTGAAATTGTAGGTTGAAGACATAATTATAAACTGTGATTAAAATTAGGCTACAGTGACCCTTTTTTGGAGGGGGGCAGTACTGGGATTTAAACTTAGGACTTTGCACTTGCTAAGCAGGCATTTGAGCCACACCTCCAGCCCAACAGTGAACCTTTTAAATATTTTTTAAAAATTCCTCCTTCAGTGTAACAAAGTGAAAACAATACTTCTGGGAACAAGTACCATGTTTGCAGTTGTGGTAAATGTCATGATCATGTTCATATATTTGAAATGAGTTTATAATTTAAGGTGACTCTTCTGTAGCCAGTCTTTTTGTTGTCGTTTGTTTTGCAGTGCTAGGGATTGAACCCGGGGCTTTGTGCATCCGTGGCACATGCCATCGTTTGAGCTATGCTCTAGTCCTTTTGTTTTTGTTTTTGAGACCTTGTCTCATTGGTACATGCTGCTACCATTGCCATGGCTGGGCAGGAATTTGCAATTCTCTTCCTTCTGCCTCCTCAGTAGTTGGGCTTATAGGGGTGAGCCACCATGCCCACCTAGCCAATCATATTTTAAGTGAAAAATAAGAATTGAGTCAGACTGATAAACTGAAATTCCATTTCTTTTCACTTAGGTTACTGAGGATTTTGTTTGACCTTATTTTTGTGCTGAAATTAAGAAAAAGTAACGTAATGTAGAGGCTTAAAAATGTGCCTTTGTTTAAATTTAACGAGGTTATCATTGACACCAATGCATTGTATATAAATAGATTTTAAAATCTATACCTTATAAGGACAAAAGGCTATTGTAATGTATAGGCACAGCATGACTGCATTTTTATCATCACATTTACTTTGCTTATGACATAAATACCTGTAATTTTGTTTGTTTTTCTAGGTTTCAGAAGTAACAAATATTCCGAGTAAAAAGCCAGTAATACAGGTTTTGAGTAGCACAGTTTTACCGTCCACCTATCAGATTCGGATCACAACTTGTAAAATAGAACTTCAGCAGCTCATCCAGCAGAAGCGGGAGCAGTGCAATGCTGAGAGGATCGCCAAGCAGATGATGGAGAATGCTGAGTGGGAGAGCAGACCACCGCCTCCAGGTAGAAGTATCCCCAAGATGCAGTTGTGACCACTGTGTGCCTAAGCTAGTAGCTAATGGGGAGCCTGATGCAGGTTGAGCATCTGTAATGCAAAATCCTAAAACAGCTTAGGGTTTTCGAGCATTTCTAATTATAGATTTTTGGTTAGAGATCCTCAGGAACCCTCTGAAATCTGAACTCTTCTGGTCCTGAGTACTTATTAGAAAGAGGGAGCAGGAACAAAACTATTACTTGAGAAGGAAGTAAATAAGAAAGACTCATAAGCCACTATCTGTGGAGTTTGGATTTTTAGCTCTGAGTAATTTGCAATGACTGGAAGACCAATTACTTGATAATTTGGCCCATCTGTGCTACTTTTCTCCCTTGATATACCAGTTCTTTACTTACCTGGTTTTATGTTTCCTTTTCATTGAATGTCAGGCTCCTTGGAGCAAACTTTTAATTTCTGGAGAGTTTAACATTTTATCTACTAATACTCTTTAATAGAAAAGTATAACATCTAGAAACAGTGGGGAAACAGAGAAAGCAAATCACCTATATCCACTTTAGCTGTTATCAACACTAAGATTTGGTAAGACCAAAAACTTGCTGTATTTTCAGAAGACAGAAAGGGATTTAGACACAGTTCAGTTCCTTTGAAAACATTCACTTCTGTCACCAGGCTTGCTCCATGTAATGGGCAGGGGTTCTCTTCAGCATTAGATTGGTAGATTTTTTTTTTTTAATTAACAAGTTTCTGTAGGCTTTAATAATGAAAAATTAAAACTCTTAGAAGAAATTCATAGTGTGTTTGTGTATAGACTTTGAAAAACTTCTATGAATCCCCATGGGATTTAGTGTGTGCTCAGGGAAAAGAAGAGGTTAGTGATTTAAAGATTTAGAAAATGTTGTTAAAAAGTAAGCATCATCTCTATCACATAAATATCCTGAATATTTTAAGTTATTATTTACCAGCCCTGCTTAATAAACAGAAAAAAAAGGTGACCACAAGCTACTTTTATTATAGATTCAGTTTTTATAAGCAGCATTTTATGCATAGGTGGTTACACATTTTATTCAGTAATCACAGAAAAAGTAAAATTTTATGGTTCAAGAAACGTGTAGTGACTGTTGTGTTCTTGGTTTTTCTTTCCACACTTGAGTGGTTGTGTGAAATTGTTTTTCTCTAGAGGGAAATGTTCAGCCTCTTGGTAAATTATCTAGACTTCATGACAAAATGTTTTCTGATCTCCTTCAAATTCAGCATATCCTTCTTAGAAATCACATCCAGTTTTTCCCACACTAAGGGACTCGGAAATCCAAGGGGAAACATTTTGCTTTTTATCTTAGAGTACATCAGGTTTGGCAGTTGTCTTGCTTCCATTTTTGTTTTTTGGTAAAAAGAGCTAATTTCTAAAATGACATTGTTACCACTTAGGCATAGTGCCAACAGCTAGTACAGTATGATCTTCAATGTAGTGTTCTGTGTTACTCTAAAAATAAAATAATATTAACTATTATAAAATGTTTTACTTAATACAAAAAAGTTTATTCATTCATTAACCACTGAAGATATTTGTGTACAGGGGCCAGTGCTAGGTACTGTGAATGATTCAGAAGGGATAAGACTTGGCTTTAGGCCTCAGTGAATTTACAGTTTATTAGAGGAAATAAATCATACACAGAATATACATAATGCATAGAAAATTATAGATGCAATAAAGAAGGTACTGAAAAGAAAGTCTGTAAGCATTCTGATGCTGTGACTTATAATTTTGTACTAGAATGTTTATACCATAGAATAAGTGATTGCAGATAGAAAGGGAATAAGCCAACATCTGGGTGTTTAGTGTGGGCTAGGGACAACGATGAACTCTTACATCTCATTTACACACACACACACACCCCCCTTGGGTTAAATAATATACCCCCTACCCACTTTGTGTTTGAGGAAACTAAAGCTCAGCTCTTAAATAAGTAGCCCAGGGTCAACAGTTATGTTGTAGTAGACTCAGACTGTGTCTTCCCCATGCCCAGTTTCTGTAGCTAGGATAGTCATTATCCTGTCCTTGATACTAAATCAGTCGTCAGTGTTTTGTTGGGTAGCAAGTGACTACTGTGCAGTCAGATCCTGGGGAAGGACCTCAAGGTGGAATCTTTCTGAAGCTGTTTGAGCAACACTTAATTGTTACCTTGATGTTCTAGTCGATAGGTAATATCTATCATAGTACACCACTCTACTGGCTAGTTATTAATAGTAGCTTTTATTTGTTTAGTTCTTAGATTATTCTCAAGTTGGTGATTATAGATGAAGGGTGAGGGGCAGATGTATTCATAAACTACAGCTTAAGATATACTTCTCCGCTTTGTTTTAGGGTGGCGTCCTAAAGGGCTACTAGTTGCACATCTTCACGAACACAAATCTGCTGTAAATCGAATTAGAGTCTCTGATGAACACTCACTTTTTGCGACATGTTCAAATGATGGTACAGTGAAAATCTGGAACAGTCAGAAGATGGAGGGGAAGACTACCACTACAAGGTAACATGATCAGGAGCAAATCAGTTAATTCATTCCTCAGCAAAGATTTATTGAATGCTGACTAACATGCTGTTTTAGTTGCTGGGGATACATCAATGCTAAATGGGCAGAAATCCTTCTTCTTTTGGTTCAGTGGAAAATGAAAGACAATAAAAGTATAGACAAATAAAACCAGTATTATAAAGAAAAATGTAGGAGGAAAGAGGAGTAGGGAATGCAGTAGGGGTAGGATTTTAAATAAATTGTCAAGAGCATGTCTCAGAGAAAAATGACACCTGAGGAAAGAACTGAAAAAAACAAGGGGAAGAGCCATGTGGATGTGCTGAGGAAGAGTGTTTCCGGTAGAGGAAGCAAAGTGGGGATTTCAGAGACCTTAAGGAGGAAACATGTTTGTCATATGCAACTGGTAGTAGAGCAAGCAGGAGAAAGAGTAGGAGGGGCCTGGATAGATAGGGTCTAATAGATTGTTGCAAAGGACTTTGACTGTAAGTGAGATCGCCATCTTTAGAGGGTTGTGAGCAGAGAAGGGGCATGCTTAAGGTAGATGTCAACAAAATTACTCTGTTGATGTTGAGGCTAGAATGGACAGGGGTAGGGCAAATGCAGATGGGGAATGATTACAGTAATCAAAGTAGGTCATTGTGGAATGGAGTGGGCGGGGTGACAGCAGTGTTGCAGGTAGGGGAAAAGGATTAGTTTTGATGGTAGAGCCAATGAGATTTTCTGAATGGATTAGATTAGATGGAGTATAAGCAAGAGAAAATTTAAAAATCAGTGAGATGAGTAGCTGTGTTAGAAAAACTAGTACTGTGCCATTGCCCCACTGCTATGGACAAGAAGATGATTTATGACTTTGAAATCTCCAAGACTTTAAATATGCATGATTTAATTTTGAAAATATAATTTTTATAAGTATTTTAGACTTGCATAACTTTATAGCTGTATCCATCCTTGATTTGCAGCTCATCTCTACCTCCTCCTCTCTCCCTGTCCCATCTGTCAGTCTACTGTATTCTTGTTCTTTGTGTAGTTTGAACTGAACAGAAAATTACTAGAAATCAAAATGAATCCCATCTATATTAAAAGGATATGGTGAATCTCTGGTTCTTTTCTCATTATCATTCATTGACCATAATTAAGCAAAATACCATTAAACAAAATACCCTGACAACAATGAAATAATTTAAAAGTTTACTTCGTACCTGCCTGATAAGGTTTGTGCTAATTGTTTATCTTTTAGAAAGAGTTCTGTGTTTTTACACTATGCTTAATTATTGTTTTCACGTGCATTCTTTTGGCATTGCATTAGTAATATAAGTGAAAAATAAGTAAAGAATCTTAGGTCTATGTAGCAATTTTTTCCTCGACATTTTATTATGAAATTTTCAGACCTACAGAAAAAGTTGAAGTGGTTCACAGTGAACATTCATGTACTTGCCACTCAGATTCTAGAGTTAATTTTACTGTAGTTGATGTTTTACAACCATTCATCTACCTACCTCACATTTTTCTCTCCCTGCGTCCTGGGGATTGAACCCAGGGCCACATGTTTGGCATGTGTGAGGCATGTCTCCAGGTCTCATTTTGTTTGTTATGATTTCAAGTGAAGTTAAAGATGTCAGTATCCTTCTAAAAACTCCAGCATGCATATCATTTACTAGTATTCAGTGTTTATATATTTTTTGACATGAAATTTATATGCTGTGAATGAAGTACACAGATCTTAAGTGAACCATTTTGTGAGTTCTCACAAACAGATAACCCCTCTGCAACCTGCACCCTTCTCAAGGTACATTACACCTGGGTGTTTCCTTATATCTTTTCCCAGGTAAGTTCCTGCCTCCTCCCTCCCTGTAACCATTCTTTTGCCTTCCCACCACTCTTAGGGTTTTGATTAGCATTTTTAAACATTTGTTCTCATAATTGCTTTCCAAATTGTCACTATCATTTGTATCATTCATTGTCCCTTTTATTAGAAGTTTAATTAACATAATAAACCTCAAGTAAGAACGTGGAGCCATCTACTTACTTTGCAGAAACGCTTTTTATTCCTTCCCAAATGATTTTTTATCTGTTGTGCCTTTCATATCTCAGTGTCATATTTTCAGGCAATGGTATGTCCAGTATCCCAAAAAGTTTGGCAGTTTAGATACTTTGTATTCTTGAGAAGTTTGTTTTAGATTAGGAGATTGGATCTCTCTGGGAACAGCTGTTCTCTTGCTTGCTGTAACACTTGCTCTCTTGTTTGTGGAACACAGTGGGGCTTGGTTTGGAGGTGCTTCATCCAGGTCCGGGTGGGGAAGAGCATGAGAACAGAATATGCTGCCTCCACCACATGCCTTCGTGGACTGGTGAGGGAGAAGGAAGCAATTATTATTGCCAGACCCAAGTGAGGAACAGCTGGTGGCAGAGAAAGAACAGCAAAACTAATGTGTTTTCTTAGGAAATGTTACTAATGCATTCTGAATCCTGAGCCTTTCCCCAGTGCATTATGTTGACTGTCCACTTTGTTCCCAGTTCTAACTTTCTCATTGCATTTATACCTCCTGGATTTTGGCTCTGCCATTTTCTTATTTCTTATTTGAGTTGAACTTTTGTGTTTTTCCCTTATGGACTTGCTTGTGAAAAATTTGCTGTTTTTTAAAACCTGTGCAAATAATATTTATTCCATTATAGTTTTCTGAATTACATTTTCCCAGTCTTCGTCTTGTGCCATCCTATTTCTGGCTTATTTATATTAATTATATGGAGGATTGATGCATTGGGTACTCGCTGAAATTAAAGTGATTCTACAGCATCTAAGTGGAGTTTGTTGTGGTGAAGAGTTTAAGCAATGGGAAAGATGCACAAGAAAGTTGCCAGTGTTAGGGTCACATATTTTGGAGTCAATGACAGTGTCAGAAGTCAACATTTTTAGTAATATTTCTACTCTGAAGGAAAGGAACTACAAAGGGCAGTAGAGGCCTGAACCATGAACCATAGGAAATTGTTATCTGTGAACCAAAACAGAGAGGCCAGAAAAGAAGAGAAAAGAAACACTTACGTCATGGACTGCATTGAAGAGTGAATTTTAAGAGACTCCTAGACCGCTCTCAAATGAAATAGAAAAGCTAAGTAGCATAAGTTCCTACTTAGGCTATGAGGGCACTCTGATATAGTGTTCCCTGGTGGACGGCAACTGATCCACCTTCCCTGGAGGACTTGTGGCAGTAGTTATCACTGGCCTTTATGACGAATGTATCCTAAGGAAGCAACTAAGGGTAAGTCCAGACATTAGTGCTTAGGCTGTTCAGGTCACCTTTCTTTATAATAGTGAAAAACTGGAAACAAACAGTAGGGGTAAAATTGGATAAATAAGTGATGATGTAACCTATAAAACTAATTATGGAAATATATTTTTTATTTTGAAGGATACTGAAGTTTTGTGTAAAAAGCTAAATTTAAGAAGAGCATACAGAGTTTCTGCTTTCAGATGGCAGAATAAGGTCCTCCAAACATTGTTCCTCCATAAAAACAAAAAACGTGGGCAAAAACAGAAAAAGTCAATTTTTTAGAATTCTGAAAATTAAAGTCATATAATCCCAAGAATATTTAATCAAAAAAACATCTTATTTGCTTAAAGAACTATGAGCTTTGTGGTGCTTAGCTTACTTTAATTTCACCCCCTCCACTAAGCTAACTGAACAAGAGACCTCAGTAGCCACATACAGACTCATTGAGGAAAGTCATTACACAGACAGCAATTTGGAATCCTTATATTAATTTTGAATGTCAGGCAAAGGAGCAGTAAAGGATGACCCATGTACAGGAATAAAGGCAGGCAGTGGAAACTGTCTCAGTAATCCCAGACGTTAGACTTGCTAGACATAGACTGAGTCATCTATTACAAATATGGTCAAAGGACTAAAAGAAACTAGAACATTTCACCAAAGACAGTATCAATAAAGAGAAACGATAGATAACCAAATACAAATTCTGGAATTGAAAAGTATAACAACTAAAATAAAAAATTGGGCAAACTCAACAGGTTTCAAGTGGTAAGAGAAAAAAAGTCAAGACAATTTGAAGATAGATAATTGACATTATCTAGTCAGAGCTACCTTGCCTAGCTGGCCTTGAACTCTTGCCTTCCAAGTAGCTGGGATTACAGGCATGTGCCACCATACCTGGTTGCATCTATGAATCTTCTAATAGTTTATATGTTGGTTTTTTTTTTTCCCCACTGTGACCCTGTTAAATAAGTAGGGCACTCTTTTTCTGATGAGTAAACTGAGGCATAGAGCAGGTTAAAGAGCTTGACCAAGATCATATAGGTAGTCGGTGATGGAACTCATCTTTGATTCCAGAGATAGTGCTTTTCCTACAGTGGCAGCTGCATATTAGGGATGATAGAATAACAAACGGTTGTGAGGGTCAGGGTTTAAAGCATTGCAAGAGGTAAATGAGAATTGGATCAAGACCATCAGTACTTGGGTTCTGATTAGAGAACAGGAGGGTCAGTCTTCCTCTAATTGAGAAGTGTGTGGAGATGGCCATTAGAAGAAAAGGTGATTTTGTACCATTGCTTTTAAGCAGAGATTCTCATTTTTGTTATGAATTCAGGAAGATTAAATGGACCTTAGAGTAGTAATTTTGTTTGCTAATGGCCATGTGGATATTTAATGGTAGCAGTAATGTGCTTGTTTCAGAAATGAAATCACTCTTCTCTTTCATCCAGATCTATTCTGACATACAGCCGAATTGGGGGGCGAGTCAAGACACTCACATTCTGCCAAGGCTCCCACTACTTAGCCATTGCATCTGATAATGGTGCGGTCCAACTTCTTGGAATTGAGGCCTCCAAGCTGCCCAAGTCTCCTAAAATCCATCCTCTACAAAGCAGGTATCTGTCTTCTTAAAGCACTGTATTTAGTGTACCATGGGAACTTCAATCTCCCCCATACCTCGGAATGTAGTTTGGATCACATGAGGGTCTCTTACATTGTAGTTCCCTTTTTAAGCCCATGAAGTGAATAAAGCTGGGCTTCTAGCTCGAAAATATCAAATGCACTTAATTTTAAAGACACACATCTTATTTTCTGCCAGTTTGTCAAAAGCTCAGAGGGCAGGTTTAAACTGTGTTTCTTCCAGTCTGAAATCTGCCCAAATAATGGAGTTATCAGCTAAATCTTGCATCCAGCTTAAAAGCTTAAGTGGTCGATTTTGAGGTTTTGAACATTCTTCATTGAAGAGAACTTACGCAGCAGCGTTGATCCTGTATTGAAATCTCTGAGGTTGGTGAGATACAATTTTCAGACAAAGTTTTGCTTGTCATTGCAAACCAAAACACTGGCTGGCTTCATTTAGGAGTTTCCTTCATTGCTTATAAATTAGTTATGTATAGTTTAAACACATGTGAAATAAGATATTTAAAGACAATGATAATTTTCTTGGCTGACTAATATGTGTTATGCCCTGAGAATTCCAAAGACTATAAATAAAGTATTTTATACCCTCTGCAGTCCAGTGGGAGGAATAGACAAAAATAGGCTGTTCATGACAGTGTTAATGCAGTACGGCAATGTGTGCCTTGCATCAGGGCTAGCAGGATCCAACTTGAAAGGGACAGAGAAGAAGGCAGGTGAGATTGGAGGTGAGTGAGCCACCCAGAAGCAGGGCGGTTGAGAAGGGCGTGCCAGAGGCAAAGGTGCTAAACCCATAGAAAGAATGCAAAATGAGACTTTTAGTTTATTGGAAGATAACTCATGGTCATTGTGTAGCTTAAGGCAGAATGGGAGGTTTGTTGGATCACCTGATATTTCTTTTGTTGTTCGGTTTTGCTTTTGCATTTAAAAAAAGATGCTAGTTTCAACATATTCATGAAATAGATTCGAGCAGCTTTTGTCCAGGACAAATTATGTATGGCCTTTAACTACCAACAAATACCTACCAGTTTTGTTTAAAATTTGTTTCAACAGAGGATGAGTGCATAACAGTATACCTCCTGAGTTCATGTGAATGACTGAGTGTTCTGTGTGCTGACTGTGCCCTCATGTCACACACACATGCACATTGTGCAGGTGGTTATCTGTGCACTCACAGCACTTCTCACCTTGAGCATCACTGTTCTAACACTAAGCAGGTATTTATTATCTACATTGGGGTACTTTGCCAGAATATTTAGATTTTACAGTGCCTGACTGTAGTGTCATAAGTCACTCATTTATTTATTTCAATCAAATCAACTGCTGTCATGCCTCTTAAAAATTAGAATTTGTACAGTGGACGATTTCACATTTATTTGACATTTTGATTTTTTTTTTTATCATCCCTTAATATGGAAATACAGCCAGAAGCAGGATATTTATAAATACAGTTGCTTATGTAAGGTAGGGGTCAGCAAACTACAGCCAGCAGTATGGTCCCTACAGTTGTAATGACTTTTATATTCAAAGGGTTGTAAAAACAAAGAATATGCAACAGAGATGTATGTGACTCCAGGAGCCTGACTCTTGTGACAAATGTTTGCTGGCCTCTAATATGTGTTGTGTTTTGTTTGTTTTTTTTTCTTTTGGCAGTACTGGGTTTGAACTTAGGGCCTCACACTTCCTAGATAAGCACTCTACCACTTGAGCCATGCCCCCAGCCCAGCTGGCCTCTGAGAGATAAAAATAAAGCAGTGTATGCAAAACCATGGTGTGTGCCAACCATGGAGATGGCCAGTGTGCTTTAGTATGTTCTTTTTTTTCCTCTCTGTGGTGCTGGGATTAATCGCAGGTTCTCATGGATGCCAGGCAGGTGCTCTACTGCTGAGCTACATCCCCAGGCCTATAATGTTCTCCTGGTTTTAAAAGTGCCTCAGCTTGAAAAAACGCTAAAATACCCATACAGCAGAATAGTCCTCTGCAATATAAAGAAATGAATTATTGGCCTATGCAGCAACATTGTTGAATTTGAAATACAGTTTGCTAATGACAGAAGTCAGATCCAGAGCTAGGATGTAGCTCAGTGGCAGAGTGTGTGCCTAACATGGACAAGGCTCTGGGTTAGATCCCCAAACTAAAAAAGAAAACAACCAAAAAACACACAAGAGGTTAGATCCAAAAAGCTGTTCATTCTGTGTTTCTAGTTGTAGACATTCTAGAAAATACAAAAGAGAAGAAACTAGATCAGTGGTTGCCACAAGTTGAGGGATGGGTTGAGGGTGAATGCAAATGGGGTACACAACATAATCTGGGGGATGCAGAAATACTTTTGTGTGGTTCTGTGGTGGAAGAAACATGACTTCCACCATGTATGTCACAATCCGCTTAACTGTATTCCACAAAAGGAATTTTGCTGTTAAAAATCAGCCAAGCCAGCACATGGGGAAAGATGGATTGTAGTTTGTGGCAATTGAGTCATACAATTACATCGAAGGGTACAGATAGTAGAGGAGCTAACTTAGGAACTTTGGAGAACCATGTTTTAATTGGATTCTGTGAGCCTAACTGTGAAAGGAACTGAACTCAGGCATTGTGTTGTAGTTCATTATTTTCACAAGAGTGTGGTTTAACAATTTCAAAACTACTTTCCAGGGTTCAGCAAATAAGTAAATATGTTATAGGTAATGAGAACCAGGTTTTTTCAGAAGTTATAAATAAGGAAAAGGGCAAAGACTAGAATGAACCAGTGCTAGGCAAGAGTTGGGAATTTTAATATGGACTCATAATAGCGGTAGATGACACATGCACATAAGTGGAGAAATGTATCCGCTCACGTGAAGTAGTGTACAGAACATATGTTGTAGCCGCAGCCTTTGAGAGGTCTACAAAGCAGGGATACTGCCACAGCATCCAGCACTTATGTTGCCAAATCTCGTTTCTGAATGCCGTTCTCAGTAAGAGACCCTGGGATTCCTTGAAGAGTAGTTGATTTCAGGAGTAGTGCAGGGAAGGTAAAACATGAACCTGGAGCATCATATGGACCAGGAAGTTAGAAGGTGTTTTTAAAAAGTATGTTTGAAGGGCACAGTGGCCAACTTCTACAAGCATGTACTGGGCTGAGTAGGAACGACATTGGCAATAGAGTAAATAATTGATTATCCTCAAAGATAAGTGACCACGAGTCCATACTGATAGAAATAAGTAAATGCATAAGTAAATTAATGGCGATACTGCAACTTATAGAAGAACTCCAGTCAATTAATGTAAAAGGAACGAGGGAAACAAAGTCCTAATACTAAATTACCACACACATGATCCATCACATGAGCTCTAAATTAGTGGGCAAAAATTAGAGCAGAATCAGGATTTTGTTTTTTACATTGTCTTAAAGTATTTCCACCAAATACTGAGTAAAATATAAAAGAAAAAAATTTTTTCACAATGAAGAACCCTAGCAGACACTAACGTAAAAGATTAACATTACCAGTATACCTACTAGTAACCTCAGAGTAGTAATGAGAAAACATCAGACAAACCCAAGTTGGGGCATTTTGCAAAATAACTAACTGTAGTCTTTAAAAATGTCATGGTTTGGAAGACCAAGATGCCCTCACAGATTGGAAGAAACTAAGGAAACAGAGCTCAGTACCTGCGGTGCCCTGGATTGGATCTTGGGACAGTGAAAGAACACGAGTGGAAAACTTGTAACATCAGAATACACTCTGTATTGTAATTACGAGTGTTGTGCCAAAGGTTTGTTAGTTTTGGTAAATGTCCTAGGGTTATATAAGATTAAGATATTATCATGAGGGAAAGCTGACTGCAGAGTGTACATAAACTGTTTTTGAAATTCTAAGATCAGGTTTGTTTTTTTTTTTAAATGCCCAACTATAATTGTCTTAAGGGTCACATTTTTTTTTTATTTCTTGACCATGAATAGTATATAAATTCATCTTAAAAGGATACACGTGCTACATTTTATGACTAGAAAAGTCCTTGCACATTATGTGTGTCTTAGAATTTTGGACCCGAAGGAGGATGGCTGTGTGGTGGACATGCACCACTTCAACTCTGGGGCACAGTCCATTCTTGCCTATGCCACTGTGAATGGCTCTCTGGTCGGCTGGGACCTCAGGTCTTCAAGCAACGCATGGACGTTAAAGCATGATTTGAAGTCGGGCCTCATCACTTCCTTTGCTGTGGACATCCACCAGTGCTGGCTCTGCATTGGTAAGTCATCAGCTGGGTTTTGAATACCACTAAAGCAACTGGCATCTTAGGAAAACTGTTTTTTCCTTTTTCCTCCATTAGTGATTTTTCCTCATCTCCTTTTTTTCGTAATTATTATGCTAAGTCTCTTGCCGTTCATTTATTTTTCACTAAAAGCGTATTTCAAAGGGTGATATCAGTATCATAAAGCATAAAGCAGTTTCCTTCCTCCTTTTCCTAAGTGAGCATCTTTACCTTATAATGATTATAGTCATTAGATTTGCTGGCAGTCTCTTACTGTGCCAGGAAAGCAGCATCTGGGTTTGGGCCAAGACAGTTTGAAACTGCAGTAGCTTCAGGAAGCTACTCAACTCCTGTTACATCTTTACCTTCAAATGGGACTGATCCCTTCAAGGGCTGCTTGGAGAAGAGCCAAACAGTGGTTATTTTATATCACCCACCCACTTTTCCCCAAACATTGAAGATGTGTGATACGGTTTTGCTTGTTTCTTTCTTCTGTTTTTGTTGTTTGTTTAAAAAAAAATAGTGTTTAAGTTGATGAATTCTGAAAAATACATATAATAGTGTGACTCTTGCCACAAACAAGATACAAACATTTCTGTCACTTCATCGGAAGATTTCCTCCTAACCCTTTGCATTCAGTACCCTTTTCCCAACCCTCACACCTAATTTGTCTCCATTTTGCCTTTTTTTGGAACGCCCTTCTGTAGTATGCACAAAGCTTGTGAGACTTCTTCACGTGGCTGCATGTATGAGGAATTATCGTGGAGTAATGTTCCACTTCATGGATAGATCATCTGTGCATCCATCCATTCTCTGGTTGATGAATAGTTGAATTGTTTCTAGATTTTGGCTTTCCTGCAAAAGTGCTACAAACATTTGTTAATAGGTTTTTGTAAGGACATGATTCCATTCATTTCAAGTTCATACCCATGAGTGGGGTTGGTTTTTTTGTTGTTGTTGTTACTGTTTTTAATTGACAAATAGTATATATTTATGGGATACAATGTCATGTTTTCATGTGTGTTTATATTATAGAATGGTTAAAGTCAGGTAATTACCTCACATACTTTTTTGTGGCAAAAGTATTTAGAACCTACTTCTTTTAGCAACTTCAAAATATACAATGTGTTATTATTAATTATAGTGACCATTTGTCCAATAGTTCACTAAGCTTATTCTTCCTAAAAACCTTATGCCTTTCAATTCCATGTGTCCCCTTTTCCTCCCATAGTACATTGAAGTTGCCCTTGACAAGATAACCACATGACGTTCTTTCCCTCTTACTCAGAAGAATAAGAGGGAATTTAGCTTTCTAGATTTCTTAACTTAACAGTTGTGACATTATCTGCTTTTTCCTGTATTTTAGTGCAGCTTATATGGAATGCATTGCTTTTGGCTTTGGGGTGAATAAACCACCCAGGTGCAGGAAGGTGTAGCAGTAGTCTTGAAGAGTGCAAATTAGCCAGTGGCAGTGATGTCTCTCAGGCACCCTGGCCAGCTTTGAGGAGAGGCATTTGTTCTGGAGTGGAGCAAGGTGACATGCAGAGGGACCCAGCTGTCCTTTTGTGTGCTCTACAACCCTCATCTTTCCACTGGCATTGGAAACCAATCCAAGAATGTGCTCTCATAACCAGTTGCTCAGTGTTGGAACAGATGCTGTTCTCTCGGGGTGAAGATGGTCTCCCTCTTCAGGGTTTAAGCTGCTATGGGAAGATGCATAGGCATTCACCCTGGTTTCTGTTGTATTAGACACCCAAGCCTATCTCTAGAATGTGTTGGGGGAAGGGCATGTGGAAATGATTGCAATTCAATGATAACTGAAAATTTAATGATAGCTGCTCCCACTTTGGATTTTAAGGTGATCACTGTGTATCAAAGCATCTGTCATTTAAGGTCGTCTGAACATTTTGACTCATCTGATTCAGTTTATATCTTCTCTAGAGCTTCTGGTTTTCTGGGTGCCTTTGGCCGTTAGTAACAATATCAGTAATTAATGCATTATCATTTTGAATTTACATTCATTAGCCAGTACTGTAATTGCATTATGATGAACAATTTATCAGAGGCACTGTTTGAAACTGGGGAGACAGTCTCTTGAGAACAAAACCTTTTTCTAAATGACTAAGGACATTTTAAAAAATATATTCCTACACAGCTATTTGTATAAATACAGCCTAGTGTGTTATTAGCTGGTGTCCTTTTTGTGCTTTTTTTAAGGTACAAGCAGTGGTACCATGGCATGTTGGGACATGAGGTTCCAGTTACCAATTTCCAGTCACTGTCCTCCCTCCAGGGCTCGAATCAGGCGCCTCTCCATGCACCCTCTGTATCAGTCTTGGGTGATTGCAGGTGAGATGGAGGGGATTTTCATGGAAAATGTGTTAGACTCTGTTGCTAAGACTCATGTTTGTAAAGTGTTTATTATACATATGAACCAAATGCTTGGTTCTGTTCTGATTATGGAAGTTCCCACCCCTGTCATCTTAAATGCATCAAGTTCAAAACCAGTCTCATCAATAACTGCCACCACCCTCCATTCCTGTCTACTACCATCTCTCATTCTGTTCCTTTTCCATCTCCTGTGTCCCCATTTTGGTTAAACCTGTACCCATCTTCCTAGAAATGTAAGTTAGAAATGTTGACCCATTTTTCTTATTGCTCTCACATGCTTCACAAGTTCTCCTTCCTTGCCTTCATTGGGCACTCTTTTTTTTTTTTTTTGGTATGGATTCTTAGGTAAGGCACATGGGCGAATGTTTGAAACTAATTTCCTGATCTATATAAAGTGTGATTGAAAATACCTCATAGAGCATGTAGTCTGGTGTATACATAATGCTTCATAGAGAACAGTTTTTGTTAATCTTAGGTTTCCTCAGAGGTCCTCTTGCTCTAGGCTCTTTGGGGCCTGTCCTTATATGCACAGTCCACCTCATAAATTTCTCCTGTCAAAGTCACCATCTTGCCAAGTTCAGTTACCTCCTATGTGACACATCATTTGGTCAGTTGAGAGCACTTCCACCTTTCTGAAATGCTTTCCATACCTGGTTCTGAGGTCATTTCCCTTGGTTCTCTCACTTTTTTTTTTAACCCCCCCTTCCAGTGGTGTGGGTTAAATTCAGCACCTTGCACATCCTAGGCAAGCACCCTACCACTGATCTATACTCCCAGCCTCTCTTACTTCTTGATCTACCGGTTCTTCTTCCTTTTCTGACTTTTAAATTGTGGTCTACCTTAGGACTCAGTCTTTGGTTTTAACCAAAGACTTCTACACTGGCTCCATATGAGATCTTGTCCAGTCCCATGCTTTAAATAGCAAGTTTAAATTCAGATTTTTATATCTATATTCTTAAAATCTCCCCTTACATGTCTAGTAGCCATTGGAAGCTTGGCATGTCCAAACTGAATACTTGATATCCTCTGTACTGAGTGCTCTGACCACTAATCCTACCCAGAGATAAACCTGCTCTTTCTGTGGTAGTCTCTCAATAAATGGAAGCTCTTTTCTGCTGGGTACTTGGGCAGAAGTCTGGTGTTCTTGAGTCCAGCAGCCAATCCTGTAAGTTCTGCCTTAGAGCATACCCAGAATTTGATCACTGCTTACTACTCTTTCATTAAAGTTTCCCTAGTGCAAACCACCAAAATCTCTTGTTCCTTTTAATGCAATACCCTTTTAACTCCTTGCTTTTGTCCTTATCTCCTAAGAGTATTTTTTCTTCTCAGTAGCTTCAGGCAGTGGCTTTTCATTCCAGGTATTATGGTTCATCTTGATTGTCAACTTGTTTGTATTGAGAAGTGCCCAAATAATTAGTAAAGCATACTTAGTGTATGTCTGTGCAGGTATTTTCCAGGGAAGATTAAGGGGAGAAGACCCATCTTCAAGTGAGCTGCTCTGCTCTCCTCCCATCTGGAACCATGACCAAAATAAACTCTTCCTCCCTTAAGTTGTTTTGCTCAAGTACTTAGTCACACTGATGAAAAACACAGAGAGAAACAACCCAAGTCCTCACTGTGATCCACATGGTTTTATGGGATCTGTTCTCTTGCCTACTCTCTGACCTTCTCCTAGTTCTAATAGGAAACTGATGCCACACCCAAAGTAGGATAATTTAAGGAGGATTTCTTTTCAAAGGAACTTTTACAAAAGTGTAGGGTATCACAAAAGATGGTGCAGTAGTCTAAGAATGGGCATCTGAGGGGGGTTTGGTTAGTGGAATTTGGAAAGAAGTTGAGTAGAGAAGACCAACCACCTTGATACGAGCAGTGATTTTAAAGTGAAGTATACAACAGTCAGGGATGATTTCTGTCCTTCCTTTGGTCTCCTCCTGGGGCTCTTCATATGTATGGGTTATTTTTTATGACTGTTTTAACAATCCTGGAGGCCACAGTTTGAAAAGGATTTTTGTAGACCAAAATTGAGGTGGCAGCAAGCCACATTCACTTTGGAGGCTATAGGTGAGAATCTGCTTACTTGCTGTTTCCTGCTTCTTTTGCTGTATCTCTTAGCCAGTGCCCCCTTCTGTCTTCAGAGCCCAAACCAGAGCATTTTGGTGTTTATTGTTTGTTGCCTTCTGCTGTTCTTGTGAAATCTGCCTCCCTCTTCTAAGAATTCTTGTGATTTCATTCAGGGACCAGAATAATTAACTTAATCATTTATCTCCACAGTCAGTTTGTCATACAAGGTAACACACACAGGTTTCAAGAGTAGGGCTTGGATATTTTTGGGGGCCAGTTTTTAGCCTGCCATAGGCTGAACCCATCTAGAAGCCCAAGAGTACAAGAGTCTGATTTGGCTTATACAGGTCAGCCTTAGAGCAGCAGGTAGAAAGTAACCAGAACAGCTGCCTGTCTCCCCTCAGTCAGCTCCAGCTATACCAACTCATTCTTTGACCTAAGCATACCGACCTAAGCTCACCCTTGCTTTAGGGCTTTGTATTTTTTTGATTAGTGTCCCCACTAGACTGGAAGTTCTGTTCATTAGGGAATTTTTCTGCTGTGTTTGCCATCTTTTCCTCAGTGCTTAGGACAGTGACTAGTCTTGATAAATATTAATCATTGAATGGAGCCTGTGTAGTGTTAACGCCTCCTGCTCCACGATGCCTAGGGGATACACTTTTTGCTTTTTGTAATCTGCTCTCTCCTTCCTTTCACAAATATACTTCAGCCAGACCAACTATTTGTGTTCCCCCAAAACACACAGATATTTTTGCTTTGTTTTTTTTTTGTTTGTTTGTTTTTGTTTTTTCCCATTCAGTTCTCCCTGAAATAGTCTGCCTTTACTTGCTTTTCCTTCCTATCTCTAACATCTTGTCCATGAAGTAACCTTGGTTCTCACTACTGGGTGTGATGTTTTTCTTCTCTGAGTTCATGTGGGACTTTGTACTCTTCCCCCTGAAAAAAAAAAAAATCTCTTCATTGCCATCCATACATCTTTTCTCTCCCCCTTCTAGACTATAGGTTTCTTGAGGGCAGGACCTCTGTATGATTTGTCTTTCAACCCTACAATTCTCTTCACCTGGTTGAGACCAGTAACTATTTGCTGTTAAGCTGTTAACCACAGTTTGTTTTCATTCATGCAGTCTGGTACAGAGTCACATTGTTTAAAAGTACTAGTCTTTGTTTCTTGCAGGATGGGGGGAAAATGAAAATAAATACAGGCTGGCTTGAATTATGTACTGTCTGAGAGTGAGTGCTTCCCTGTCTCCCTTAGCTGTTCAGGGCAACAATGAAGTGTCCATGTGGGACATGGAGACTGGTGACAGAAGACTCACTCTGTGGGCCAGCAGTGCACCGCCGCTTTCCGAGCTACAGGTTTGTCTCCAGCTTTCAAAGTGAAGGATGATGTTCACATCCCAGGCATATTCAGGCATTTTTAGCAAACCTGGTCTCTTTGGGGTCTTTAGTAACATCAGGGTGGCCATTGCTAATGGATGTTTTCCAGTTCCTGGTTCATTGAATGTTTTGGTTGCTGACTCCATAAGGCTTGTGAGCTGTCTTTGGAACCCTCAGAGACCTGGGTTAATTGGGCAAAATGAGAATTGAAGTTTAGAGGGCCCTGACTTAGGATTTTTTTTACTTTATGATGATGGTGCAAAAGTAATACATATTCTGTACCTTGATCTTTTGCTGGGCAGTGATCTGTAGCTTAACAGTCAGATACTAGGTAAATAGCCAGTAGTCTAGGTGAGGTGTTAAGTGCATTTTCAACTTACGAATTTATTAAGATGTTACCTCAACATAATTATCTGTTTTTAATAGTCACATTGCCATGGTGCCTCATTGAAGAAAGCTTCAGGAAGCTTAACAGGCAACACTCTGTGTTTAAAGTACAGTTGCTTTGTATGATTCTAAAGATGATGTATGTAAGAGGTGCCTAAAAAGCTCTAGATGCCTCCCAAACTAGTACCATCATTTATGGACTACATCGATGTCTTATTTGACTCCATATTTCTTTCTTTCAAGCCTTCTCCTCACAGTGTTCATGGTATCTACTGCAGTCCTGCAGATGGAAATCCTATCCTGCTAACAGCTGGCTCAGACATGAAAATAAGGTGCAGTATCTCAAAGAATATTCTGTACCTAATAAATGGGTGTGCATTATGGTTTGTGAAAGGTATAACATCACTGCCTTGTAATTCAAGTTATGCTGTTGGTTCTTGAAAAATTTTACCCTAATGCATAAGAAAATAATGCATTGATGAATATCACCATTTATTTTTCTCTAGGTTTTGGGACTTAGCTTATCCAGAAAGGTCCTATATTGTGGCAGGAAGTACTAGCTCTCCATCTGTGTCCTACTACAGGAAAATAATAGAAGGCACTGAAGTTGTCCAGGTATGATACTCTGGGAGACAAAAATTTCATATGTGATATGTATTTACTTCTCCCCAATAAGTTCTTTCCCCTTTTTATATTAATAAAAGTTAAGCCTATTTATAAGTGTCCCATATTTGTAAATGGCAACTGAATGCACTGTGGACTCTCTTTGCCCAGTATATTTGTGAAAGCATGACTATTTCACATGAGGTGTTAGAGATGAGAGGTAGGATGTGGTATAATTTAACTTCTGACTTTCTCACATAGGAAATTCAGAATAAGCAGAAGGTAGGATCAAGTGATGACACCCCTCGAAGGGGCTCAGAGTCTCTGCCTGTGGGACATCACGACATTATCACAGATGTTGCCACCTTCCAGACAACTCAGGGCTTCATAGTGACTGCTTCTAGAGATGGAATTGTGAAGGTGTGGAAGTAAGCCTTGTATAAATTGTAAAATACACTGTGGCTCAACAAAAAGAATTTCTGGAGAACAAAATTTGCATAATGTCTGTAGTAACTGTTTCAAGTCTAAAACCCACCCAGAGTGGTTAAGGAAGTTGACTTTACTACTTTATTCATGCGTGTCTCTGCAAGACAACACTCTGGGGTGGTTAGAAGTTAGAAATGTAAAGTGAATGTGATCTCGGTTTAAGTTATTGTAAAGTTTTGTTATTAAAAATTCTATTCAAAGTAAACTATATTCAAGCATTCCAAGAGGTTTTGTGTTGTGTTTTCAAATAGTAAATGTAAGGGAAGAAGCGCTCCAGCAATCCCACTTCTGAAGAAATGGACCGTCTCAAGGGATTAGTGACAACTGGGCCTATCTTGTTGGACTCCACCATCACATCCTTCTTCCTGCATGGCAGCTTGCACTAGCCAATGTACAAAAGAGAAGAAGGACCAAATTTAAAACCCCTCATGGCAGTGATTGTTCTTTGTATAGAGACCTTATTCTCTCTCCATACGTGTTGTTCAGAATGACTAAAAAACCAAAAAGGTGAATAATCTTGAGTCTGGGGAACATACTTATTGTTAAATACACCAAGAAACAGTTATGTTTTGCTTGGGTTAATCAGAATTTCCTGAAAGGTCAAGTCAGGAAGTGATGGACTTTGATTAGACCATAGAGCTTTGTAGGCTTTGCAGCTCTGTCACGGTACAGTGCCTGTTTCCCTTTAAGTGTGCTAAGACCATAGCTACAGGGTGTCTGGCTAAGTCGGCTTTGTTGTCTGCAGGGGCTAGGGAAACTATGATACATAAATGGTTCCGAGGAGAATGGGCTTCAGACTTGGAGCCAATTACATGAGCAGATGGCATGGACTGACAGTCACAACACCACATTTAAAAAGGTTATTTGGTTGAATGGCTACTGAGTTTTACAGTATGCCACGTTGTCATATCTTTCTGACTTTTTTAAACAAGTTTGACTCATAGCTCAGTGCAGAGATAATAGCAGACAGGTCCATCACAGTCAGTCAGTTTTTTTCTTACCTTGGTTTTACGACAAGGTCTTGCTATGTAGTCCAGGCTTGCCTCTAACTCTTGATCCTCCCAAGTACCAGGATTACAGATAATATACAACTGTAACAGCTAAATTAAACCAGGAAATATCACTGATTTGTGTGTTTCTTGTCTTAAATACAATCTTATTAAACATATTCAATTTAATATTTGCAACATACTTCAGACCCTTCATCTGTGAATGATGAAAACTGTTACCCAAAAATGCTAAAATAATCTCAGTCACCAAGGGAGTATATTTGTTTGGTGTACTTTACTTGCCAACACAGTAAAAAAAAGTACATTTTCAAAGTATTTCCAACAGTAAACAGAAGAAAGTTGTTTGGGTTAAGCACAAAGTTAATTAGAAAAGTTACTATTTTATTGCTCGCCAGTTTCCTGCACTGGAAACAAAATTTCCCTGCAGCCAAAGCACCATTTAGGATAGATGAGACTCAGACCTGCTGGGCTGCGTGCTCCTCTGTTACCTGAGTGTGAGTGTGGCAATTAATTCCTTGGACTCTTTGCTCCTTTGAAGGCACTGGAAGCTAACTCCATGGAGTTGCCTAAGTAAGGATGGTAGAAGTGGTTAAAAAACACTGCAGATGGCTCTTGGTTCCAGGCTTTATGGAAAGGAGGTACAGAGAAGAAACTGAATGTACCCAACTGGTCTTTGGTGTCAGTAGCTACTACCCTATGTCTCCATGCCAGGCTCACCCTTCCTTCTGAAGACAGTGCCATTCTGCCTCACAGAGACATTGTTACCACTTGCGGAGCCCAATTGTAGTCTGAGGTAAGGTCTGAATACTGTGTCTAAAGAAATAGTGCTGCTTTGGGGTTTAGCTGTTGAAAATATCAGCTCCATCATAAAAACTGAATGGGAGAGAGGAGACGAAGTCTCAGAGAATGCTGTAGAGGCTGGGGACTTTCCTATTCCTGCTCTGAGGTACTCTGATCTACTTCTTCAGCCCATATGAGTCTGTAGATTAGAAAGCGTTTCTTACCTTTTCCAGTCTCAATGGTCATTTAAGGCTCTTTCTCTGCCAATCCTGTTTTGGTGCTGTTCACTATTGACTCAGCTACTTGGTATGCAGAAATAAGTCAGAGCCTCACCCATGACAAGTGGCTTTACTCTTGTCTAAAGGATATGGGAATTAGTTTTTAAAAAAAAAGCCATAACAGGGAAGAAAGACCAGCAAGTCACCAAAATGGCTGGGTAGAAAGTTCTGTAAACAAGATAGAACTTCTAGCTCAAAAGCAGTAATTTATGATCTAGGAGAATTACTGAGTTTCTCTGAGTTTAGGAGGATATAGAGCTGGAGAAAACTACCCTCTGCTTCTCATTAGTCCAAGCAAACAGCTGCAGAAGGTGAGAGATAGCCTTCCAACACAAGCCCATCTAAGGATCAGCCAGTCCACACTCCACACTCACACAGTGCTGTGCTTAAAGGGAACTGTGACAGAAGGTGAGATTTCCAAAAACATGACATACACACAGCATGAACTTCTGAGGTCAATTTTGGAGTGGCCCAAATCATTGAAACCTTTGATTACACAGATGTGCACTGAGCAGTACTACATTAAGAAAGGAGGTTTGGGTTGTAAAATCAAAATTTGCATTGGCCTGTGTACACACAGTCATACATTATATAGAACTTCATTTCAAAACACATCTCCGGTAGACTTTTAAAAACACTGCTTTGATTCTTCCATTTTCTAATGACAGCAGCTCTTTAAACATATCAGTTGTAGAGTGTTGGAATTGTCAGTAGGGGCCAAACAGTCAAGATACAGCTTAGTACCAATTCATGCATGGGGTCAAATTACCTGATAGTCTACCACCTGTGGCTTGTTCATCCCTCCAAAGTGGACCTCCAGCTGCAGGCAGATACCCAGGAGTTCTGGAGTGGATGTGGTTATATTTTAAGTCCAGAGTCTTACCATGGTTCCTACGGCTAAATTGTTCAGACACTTCCTTTATCATGTTGTTTGAGGGTAGCTTTTACCATCTTTTTTTCATTTTTAAAGATATGGAATGTGCTTCTGGGAACATTTTGAATAGCATCTCTGCCACCTCTTGCTACTCTTGAAAGGTGTTTTTTATCTTGGAAGAATTTTGCCTCCTTTAATGCGTCTTTGAGGGCAGCTTTCTGTCGTCCAGGAACAAAGCTATACGACAAAAGAGAATATAGAAGATAAATGTTACCACATCAACTTTAACAGACTCCACATTAATCTTTCTTCCTAAATTACTTTTTGTACCCATTTCCTTGTATTTATCCTCTAGGATAGTTTCCTTTTTTTTAAGATTATTAAATGAGATTTACACTGGTCATATATCACAAACTGACAGAGACATCTTGTTAATCTATGCAAAAGTATAATTTCAACAACAAAATTTCTTCATGAAACATCTTCCACTTGGATTTTCCTGTGGTTGATCTTTCTGGTTACTCAGATTTGGAATCAAATGGTACAATGAGGCCATCACACCTGTACTTTTCCCAGTTACACCCCACTGTATCACTCAACATAGCATGCCTCTATCTTCTTCATAACTCTTTGTGACTCTTTACTTACTTGTAAACTTATTTCTGATCTGTTCTCCACTCTTTTACCCATCCAGACAGAAACTCAGTTTCATGAGACCTTGTCTGTTCACATAATCCTCAGTACTTTTCTAATAAAATTATGAATATATGCCACTCCCTCCTTTCTTCCCTTCTTCCCATTTGCCCATCCATCCAAATGTTTGCTGCCTGCTCTGTGAAGAGGCACAGTGGGCAACAGACAGCCCAGTCTAGCAGATACATAATGAGCCTGGTTGGGAATCTTGAGACACCCAATAGCAGATGAGAGCTAGGGTCAGATTCTGGCCTTGAATTCCAGGCTGAGAAATCAGGGAATCACAGAAGCCAAGTGGTAACTAGAAATTCTACTCCATAAAACTTTCTGAACTAATGAAAACGTTCTATATTCCTCCCTGGTCAGTATGGTAGCTGCTAACTACATGTGGTCATTGAGCATGTGAAATGTGATTAGTGTGACTGAGGAACTGAGGTTTTAACTTAAATTTTAATTGATCTAACCAACCACATCTAGCTATAGGCTGTTCTGGGCAGCGGAAGAATGAAGCCATTTCAGACAGCCTTGTTTTACAGGAATGTGGTAGAATGAACCTTGTATCCAAAAGCTTATTTCAGCCCCTTCTCTTACCAGCTGAGCAGTTCTGAGCAAATCACTTAGACTGATTCTTGTTTCTTCAGGTGTAAAAGGGGATTAAAAACAACCCATGTTGTGTGAACACCAAATGAAGTCTCCTAGTCTACTTAGCTAGTCATGGTGGTCTGTGAGTTACAGATGAGGAAATGGGTGCATAGAGGTGACAGTCAATGGCAGAGCTGGGGCTACATCCCAATTTTTCTGAGACTCTGAGTCCAATGTTACTGTCACCGAATGTGGAAAACAATGCATATAATTTGGAATAGGATGTGAAATGGCAAATGCCATGCTACAGAAGCACCTGGATATGGGTCTAGAAGCACAGGAAGGCAGATGGCTGGACAGGTACAAAGGTCTGAGGAACCTGGCATACAGCAAGCTCTTCATAAGTGTTTGTGACAGCCAGGTGGCATAAGAAGAGGTCATCCATACTGATAAACTTCAACAACTAGCTGAACGTGATCAAGGGAGGATTCATAAGAACTTTCTAGTGTTGAGATCACAAGAACAGCAGAAATATTCACTGTAATACATTTCTTTATGCTTTTCTGTTCTCACTAGCTATAAAAATCTAGAAAATAAGTACAGTGGAAAAATAGAAAACATTTCAAGTTTTTCACTTCTCTCTACAAATGTACCCCTCCCACCCCCCAACCCCCCATTTTCTTTCATCTATGAAGAGTAAAGATGAAGGAAACAACAGCAAAGAGAACTGTGCCATTCGTGTTACTCCCCATGTGCCTGGGCTTCTAAACTCAGCTCTCCAAGTGCTATCAGATCACAAAGTTGGTCAATCTTCAAGTTACAAGAAGAGCAGCTATGGCTAAAATGCAGAATTTCCTCACACTTCCTGTATTATTAATTTTCAGACTGAATATTATTCAAAGTCCCCACTGCCTGTATGCACAGAACAAGGCTCCACTGGTCATGGGGAGGGCCATTCTTTTGAGATTGGGGCACACTGTTTTCATGGCTTGGTTATCTAACTTTATTACCTATACTCTTTGTCCCTTTCCTTTTTTTTTTTTTTCTTTCATGGCACTTTTAGCTATTTTTGTTTAAAAAACCATGAAATTGGCAACTGCTTCTAAACATGATACTGCTATCTTTTCCCTCCTCAAATATTCTTATGCTCAAAGGGGTCAAACATGTTAAACGCCCTATCTTTGAATTTCCATTTTTTTGCTGTGTCTGGCATAGGAGCTTGTGTTTGATAAGCATCATTTGATTACCCAGTTTCCTTTCTTTGTTTGCTGATTAGCAACTCCAACAAATATTCAAGACAGAAAAATTAAGATGAAATAGTCAACTCATTTAGCAGCTTGTGCCCAGCTCCAGTAAAGCTTGTGGAAAGAATGATGTGAATTCTAGAAAAAATTGGATGGGTGGGATTAATGGTAGATTTCAGCTCTCTGCCCACAATTTTCCCCTCTATGCAGATAATTAGTTGTCATTCACGCCACATTTACTAACTGACTGGATGCACTGGAGTAGAAAATGCAGATGACATTGCTGCTGTGACCACAAAACACGCTTTGGAAAGCACACTAGCAACAGATGTGTTATTCTTATGGCAGTGGTGACTGTCCAGTTTCACAATCACAATTCCATTTTTCTGGCTCTGGCCTGTCACTGCTTTAGATCCTGGGTCAAGAGTTTCCCTCAGTGGATGAAGCAACATGCAGGTGACTTTCTGACTTCTCTGAACTGAGGGAAGCACTTATCCAAAAAGCTGCACTGCAGCCTTGCTCTTGGGCCATCTGTCTCCTTGGCGGCTGTGGTTAGATTTGGTTTCTCTCCTTTCCATGGGATGACAGCCAGCTTCTGTGTGTCTTCCTCAGAATCTCATGCAGAGTGAGTGATCTCATTTCTATTCTGCAGACCTAGTAAGTCATCTATCTTGGCCAGACCTCCTGCCTAGCAGGCAGTCTCTCCCCCTCAATCCCATGTGTTCAGTTCCGCCTCACTTCTCATGAAAGGCTCAGGCAGGAAGGTGCAGAAGCGGCTGTATGACTCAATACCTTTTATTACACTCTGGTCACTTAGATAAGGCCTGGGGAGACCCAGGCTATTATACCATCTGGGAGCTCACAGACAGTGGGGTGAATTTCATGTCTCAATTCCTTCATGCCCCAGCTGTTGGACCATTTCAGAGTCAAAGGAGAAACTGAGCTTCCTGTGTATCTAGGGCACTGTGGAGATGGGGGAAGAAACTCCCTGTCTAAAAGCCGAGTGGATTCCCTCTTCCCACTCATATTACTCTTCAAACGGAACACATGGGGTGGTGGAGAGTGCCTTCCAAAAATACCTACTGGTTTGTAAGGTGGCTCTGGCATCTGCCTTTGCAGTCACGACTGGCTATGTCAACGTGGAGCCCAATGCAAACCCCAAATTCAAGCCCGTAGATAAAACAGGAAAAAAAGCTTTGTTCTGTCGTCTTTCTCCACCCGTGCCACAGAGGTTTTTCATTTGTTGTGATATTCAGCTCCCTGGCGTAGAGATTCTCACAAAGCAGTATAGACCCCACCTCATGACCTGGCCTGTGAGGCAGCTATGGAATTCCTCCTCCCACCAACCTTGAGACAGAGGGCCCAGACCAGGCATTTTCTTTTTCCTTAGTTGGCCATATGAACCCACAACAGAGGAGCATCCCCAAGAATGTCACTACCTCTTTGCTGGGACACACCGGGTACTTAGACGGAGGTGGGCAAAAGGCAACTGTCCTGTGCCACCGCCAGCTTGGAGTAGGAGGCTGCTGCCTGACCTCCAATGCTCTGAGAGTGTCTGACCCCAAGCCTCCCTGCTGAGGAGGGAGAGGAAGGAGGAGACCCACGCAGCCACAAGGTGCCAAGTGTCTGAACGAAGAGGTCTTGCAGAGGCAGCAGGAGGTGGGATGACCAGTGAATGGAGGCTCCAAGCCCTCACCACCCATCATGTCCCATTGGATCTCACTTAGAAAACAAATTCCAAAGTGACATTACTAATGAGTGCAGAGCACTAAACCTCAAGTCAGTGGCCCTACAGAGCACCCCAAAGCTGGTCAGCTTGTACTGCCTACCACAGCTTTACCCCAACCTCCACACCACGTGCCTGCCTTACCCAGTCACCCTGTCCACATTGCATCCATGTCCCTCTTCCCAGCTGCCAAGCCTGCAGCAGGGGGAGCCCGGCTCTTCTTGCAAGGACTCCGCGGGCCTGACTTCAGCAAGCACTTGCTGCTGGACAGCTCCTCTGGACAGCTCAGAGCAAGGTGAGCAGGAGATCCAGGCAGAGGCTTCTCAGATGCCAGCGCTGGGGCTTCTGCACTGGGAGTGCCTGCCTGGCCAGATTACCACACAGACAGGCACACACTCCACAACAAAAGGCACCTAGTCAGAGGTGTTTACCTAAGTGTGAGTCCCAGGGGCTGGTGTACACTTGGTTGTGTAGGTGTGTTAGTACAGAATGTTTTGCCACAGAAACAAGACACACCCTAACTGCTTCCACTTATCTCTAACTTAAGAAAATGTAATACTGACAAGTGCAAAAGGTGTGATGTAAATTATTCTATGAAGCTTTAGGACAACTTTTTGCTCATATATAAATAAATATAAAAATATAAATATAAATAAATAAATATAGATAGATAGATAGATAGATAGATAGATAGATATGGTGAGGCTGGAATCCACGGCCTCACACTTCTTAGGCAAGCACTCTACTGCATGAGCTACACTCCTAGCTTTTTGGATTTTTTTTTTTTTTTGAGGTACTGGGGCTTGAGCTCAGGGCTTAAACCTTGAGCCACTCCACAAGTGATGGGATTACAGTTATGCACCACCATGCCCAACTGACAGACCATACTTTAGAAGTTCCTTTAGTGGTAAACTATTAATTCTTTAATCTGAATTGTCTTATATTTTTGAAAGGCAGTTTTTCTAAGTTGATACATTTTTTTTCTTCCACTACTTTAAAGATACCACTGTTGTTATTATTAGTAATTCAGCTGCCAGCCTAATGACAGTTTGGAGAAGATCTGATCTTTCTTTTGGTTGATTTCCGTTTTCTTCATCTTGGTGTTCTTTGTTTCCCTATGCCATGTCTAACTGTTCCTTTCTTTTTATCTGTCTTCTTTCACCTGGGAACTCATATCTTTATAAGTGATAGAAGTTATCCCCTATGTCTTTATTATTTAATTATATTTATATTTAATACTGTCATTTATTATTCCTATTGTGTAGTTCCAGAATTCTAATAAAACGGAGATGTTTTCATTGTCTCTAACCTCTTATCACTGCAGTCTGAGTGATTTCTTCAGCTTTTTTTCCTGGCTGATTGTGTTTCTCTTCAAATATATCTATTACTCTGTTTAATCCTCCACTGAGTTTTACAAGTTATTTTTTATTTTAAAAAATGGCAAAGTTCACAGAAAATTGGAAAGACAGAGCCGGCATGCCTTTCACCTACATTCTCCAGCCATCGCCATCCTGCTGATCTCTGTGGATGTGAACATCTGCACAGCGTGTGTGTGTGGTATACACATATAGGTACACATACACACGTGCACACACACACCATCCTCCTCCCCTATAGGAAAACCGTGGGAAAGTAGCTGAAACCGTTTGAGAATGTCTCAAAGACATTCTCACTAGCAGAGTGGCTTGAGTGCTAAAGCACCTGCCTGATAAGCAAAAGACCTCGAGTTCAAATCTCAGTACCACCACAAAAACCCCAACAAAACAAACATGGTTCTATTGCCATGCACGACGAAATCCACACAATTCAATGATCTCACCTGGCATTATTCATACTCAAAGCTCCCCAATTTGCTCCCCTAATTATACTAGCTCTTTTTTTTTTTAATCTAGAATCCAATCAAGACTCACATGATCATATCCAGCTGTTCTTTCTCTTTAGTTTCTCCCTTTCTGGAACACTCATCTGTATTTCTTTATTTTTATGACATGAAACCCACAAAGATTATAGGCAAGGTGTTCCAAAGAACATTCCAGAGACAAGGTTGTTCAGTGATTTGACTTGGTGAAACAGTTCCATCACTGTATCTTCATCTCTGTATCTTCCACTGCATCGTGGAGGGAGGCACGCAGCATAAACGCTGGTGTAAGTGGGTCCCCCGGATCTCACCACATAAAGGCGCATGTCCCTCCTTGTAATTGGTAAGCATTATGTGAGAGGTTGTGAGACTGTTCAACTGGCTTTCTCTCAACACCCAGTCATGTAACAACCTTAGCATCCCTTAATGATCAGTTATGACATTTGCAGTTAGCATTGTAAGTTACAAATTGGTGAATTTTCTGCTTCTACCATTTCTTCTGCATCTATGAGCCCACATTCTTATATAAAGAAGAGCTTCCCCTCTCCTTCCTTCCTTCCTTCCTTCCTTCCTTTCTCCCTTCCTCCCTTCCTTCCTTTTTGGGTACATAGACTTGCACCTATAAAATTTTCAGTATTATAATCCACTACCATTATTCTTTCTGATGTTCAAATTATCAAAGATTAGGCAGAGGGGAGTTCTTTCAGGACAACTCACTTATCCTGTTGACATGACTTCGTTTCTTAATGTTTCCTTGTTTCCTGGAATAATCTGTTGCTCCAGGTGAGCACTGCACCTTCCCTGCTACAGCCTACAACTAGGCATTTCCAGGGAACTAAGAAGTCTGGCTCCTTTCAATGGTGTTTAGAAACCCAGGTCTGGTCACTGGATATGCTCGCTGCCATTGGCACATCCCACCGGAGGGTTTTACTTCAATTGTTAGACTTTTCATTTTTACAAAGTATCTCTATTTGCTTATTTCTAGATCAACCTGGCTATTGTTTTTGTCTCTTGTTCCCACGAATTATATTTTAATGTCATGTAGCTATAGATTTTTATATGAATAAGATGGATGAGGAGGGAGAGAAATAAGAGGAAGAGGAGGAGAAGACAGAGAAGAAGGGGACACATATTCATTTCTATGTCACACCAAGCAGACAGTACCTTCGAAACTGGCGTGGTGGCAGCTTTGTATCTGTAGAACTGAATCTGTTGCACTTTTCTTTGAAGTTTAGTGGGGGATATTTGTTGATCGCACCTGGGGAAAGACAAGGCTATGATGAGTCTCCTCTACTCCTAGCTGTGGACATCACTGTAGTCCATTCTGACAGCGTCCCTTCTCTGTCTGCAGGAATTCACCAAAGAAAGATACCAGCTCAAGTGGTCATACGAAACGAAAGCAGATTTCTCAGGGAAATCTCTGAAACTGAGTTTAAAAAACACATCTCTATGACTTTATAGGTGAATTTAACTAACTTTTCAATAAGACATTCTTAGTTCCTGAAGTTTTGTTAACCATCAGCCAACTCTAATGACCTTGCCCTTAATAGATACGAGCTAATCAGGATAGGGATTTTTAATTTGTTCCCTGGAACATCATAACACAGAATGATAAGGATATTCCCTCTTGGTCTTTGTGTCATTAATAATACCAGTGCCATTTTGGATTTAATTCATTAGTGACTCATTTCATTTGGAAGCATATGACTTTTTCAAAACAATGCATGTTTTGTAACTTTTAAAATATTAAAGTCACTTTATAGAAAATGTTAAAAATGTATTATATATTTCCTTAAGGCATTAAATCAAACAGATTTGTTAAACACAATTCTGTCTCTTCCTGGTGATGCAGGGTTCTCACGAGTAGTGAGTTTGTTCTGGGCTATCATGCAGCACCATCCCCAGAGGTGCTGACGTAAGAAGAGTTCTGTGCTCTGGACTGAATGACCCAAGACTGTGATGCTCCTGAATTTTAACTTTTTTTAATCTATCCCAATCCTGTCACATTGCTTTTACCTGTCAAACCCTGTCAGATTGTTAGCAGTTTCACTTCTCTTGGGAAACGTGTTCATTGTGACGTGGGGCACAGCAATATGTCAGACAGGCGACACCAACACTTAGAGAGTGTTTGAAGCTCCAAATGACAGTCACCAAGTCTGTCTTGGTCATTTCTTGAGCCCAGCACCTGAATTGTGAGTGGTTCACTGTCGGTGCCTAGGAAATGTAAGGTCATTACCTTAAGGTAGTGTTGAATGAGTCAGAGTGAGTAGGTGGTCCCGCTATGGGGCTTTGCACTTTCACAGCTGTAAAGGCTGGAGGTTTCTAGATGTCTAATCTCTAGACACGGGTGTATCTTTCCATCATGGTTATAGTTTTCAAGAGCACTTTATGTATCTCTCAGGTACCCTAACTACTTTTCTTAATCCACCTGCGTCCCCTTTTCCCAAGCAGGGGATGGTGCCATTCACCTAATCCTGTAACTTGACTAATCACCATGAAATATGCCAAGAACTGTGGGGTATCAGAGAAGGAAATTTGTCAGAATCTTTCAAGGTGTTTTTTGTTTTACCCTCACAGGTGCCTTGTGTTTACATCCCTTAGAATGACTCTGTGCACATGAATGCCCTGGGCATCTTGATAAAAATCCAGATTCTGGTTCAGATTCTGGGGGAGGGGTTGGAGAGCTGGAAACTGCATTTCTAGCAAGCTCCCAGGTAGTACTGGGATGTCTGTCATCTCAGCGATGCAGGCCATGTAAATTGTAAATAGAAGGATCATGGTTCAAGCCAACCTGAGCAAAAACACAAGACCCTATTAAAAAAAAAAACTAAAAGGAAAAAAGTTCACGTATTTTCAAGGCAAGCTCATTCCAAGAAATACAACTCGTATTTATTTTTTGTGGGCACCAGTGACACTAACTACTGGCATCATAAAAAGTCATTAATGAAGGTAAGTTTTTCAAATTTTATCTTCCGAATTTGGAAAAGCAAAGCCAGGAATTGTCAGTTTTTCTTTGGCTTCCTATTTTGGGGTGTTAACATTCCATCAAAGAGCAGTGTGCTAATGTCACATGGCAAGGGTTCTACTGTGTAGCTACAGTCCAGGCTCTGACTTTACACTCCCAGGCCACACTGCTCCATGCGGACAGATGCTTTTTATGACTGCTTCTCCATAGGAACCAAAGGCATAGAAAGGATGAGTCAGAGAATTAAGTGCTTAGCCTTCGGAGGTTCCCTCCCTCCCACCATCCATTATTACACATTTTCCTTTCTGACCTTGCTGTCCTCTTGAAGATACATGAGCTTTCTAAGCATCCATCAACCTTTTTCTGCAGAGTACCAACTACATTCTTAATGTACAAGAAAGAAAAATTTTATGACTTACGCCTGATTGAGTGTATGAAGGACTTCACAAACTTCACACCGTATCTGTGGTCAGGTTTATGAATTCGACCAAGCTGGATCAGGTGATGATCCAAAGGATGGCTGGCTAGATCTTCCAGTTCCTTGTCGTTCCAAGCAGGGCCGAAGGAAAACACAAACAGGGCATAGCCCTGACACTTGGCTCGCAAGGACTCTTTCTTTAAGGTCTCCCCATCCAAGGGACTGGTTTCCCCAGCAGATATTACAAATATGACTTTGTTTCTTCTCAGATTGGGCGTGCCTAAAAAGACATTGTCCAGAGTCCATTGTAAGGCGTGCCCGATAAACGCATCTCCATTTAGCTGCTGAACTGACTGTTCCACGTGCCTCTTCATCAGGCGCCTGCTGCTGTAGGTGGTGAGGTTGAACTCAGTTCTCACGGGACTCCTCTGACTCTTGGGTAGGAAGTCAGGGGGAGCGTGGCTCAGCAGGGCCACCCGGTCTCCAGCGACAGAGGTCTTGGGCTCTGGGGTGATTTCAAAGTGATCTAACAGTGCCCCCAGGAAGTCTCTCAGGTCTTCAAACTCAGCACTTCCCACGTGGCGGGAGCCATCCAGAAGGAAGGCAGCGTCCACGTAAGACTGCACAGGGGCTGGTCTGGCTTGGTCGCAGGAAGCATCCGGCTTGCATATGTCTGCAATCAAGTCACTTAGGGTTACCGAGCAGACAGGGACAGACAAAGAAACAGTTGAATGTCCTCAACTGTTTCGACACTTGGAGACTGCAGAGTCTTTGATGTTAAAATAGTTATGGAATGAACAGCAAGATTTCCACGTACCTAACTTTGTGTCTGTCTCCAAAACAGTACAGACCTAAACACACCTGTGCTGAGACCTCTCACTAGCGCTAATGGGTCTTACTTGGCTTTGGGGAAACTAGGCAGCTTTCAATAGATGTGTAAAGCGTGGCTGCGTCTATCAAGTTGGAAGTGGACAGTTTCTCTCATCAAGGCAAGCGTGTACCGCACTGTATCACACTACGAGAGTTTTTGATCTCCTCAAGGTTAACAATATGCACGGTCCTTATCACTGTGCTCACGCTATGAAAAACTAAGTGACTTACAAGTAAGGTGCGGTGCTGATGCATCTTTTCTCTTGACTGAAATAAGAGTTTGCAACTTCACGTCTGTGTGACTCCGTAAGGACAAGGCTACAACTCCTCTTTTTATCTCTGTAATATTGCTTTAGTTGAAAGTGGGGTGCGTGTTTATTAAATAAGTGAATAGAGACACTGCAGAGCTGGCGGAGTGGCTCAAGTGGCTACCTAGCAAGCATGAAGCCCTGAGTTCAAGCCCCAGTACTTCCCGGAAAAAAGAAAAAAAGAGAGAGAGACATGGCATATTAATGGACTTTCATAAAATGTGAGGTCATTTTTATAAGCATGCACACCTCATTTAATCAAAAAATGCAGAGCAATAAAAACAGTGGATTTTATTAAATCTCACCACAATGAATGTTCAGAGGAATAAAATAAATTGGTAATTGGAGGATCTTCGAGGTCACTTAACCTTCTAATTTTATAGAGTAGATTGAGGGCAGGAGAATAAATGATTCTGCCAAAGGAGACACCAGTACTTCTAGAAGTTTCCACATGTGAGGTCAGTGTTTTATTGCTGGCGATGTGGCCATGTGGTAGTGTGCTGGGGAGGCTCCTTGGCCTGAGAACTAGGATGCCTGGCTTCTGGCTGTCAATTACAAACGTGTTTGTGCCTCTAGCCAAGCCACTACTGGGCACCAGTTTCGCAGTTTATCTGTACAATTTGGCACTGGACCTAACTGGGATAGTTTGACCCAGAGGTCCTTTCCAGGCCTGACATTCTGCCTAGTTTTTTAAAAAGCTCACTGAGGATGAGAATGACTTGTAAAAACCAAAGAGAAAAGAGAGAGAGGTGGAGTAACATACACGCAGACAGCTGGTACTTAGACATCATATATAAAAACTACTGGATGAAATATTAGTGACCAGGATACAGGTTCTGGGAGCGGCAGCAAACTTCTTAACTTTACGCTTGCTTCTGGACTCAATAAAGACGGTACTGCCCAAGTCCCTTACTGACACTTAGATCTTATGTGTAATGATCAGCTGACAGAACAGTCACCTGTGTGCAAAGCAGTTTCTAAAATCAAGGACAGCAGGCTACCCCACTTGCTCAGTTTTGTGGGTTTTTTAATTGCCTGAAATGACAGCCAAGATATCTTCCATTATATGCCTAAGAGACAAAACAAGGATTTAAGCCAAGAAATGGAGCCAAAACCTATCCCCAGTCACATATGTGCAGTTTCTCACTGTGCAATAAACCAGCTCACTATTGTAGCTGACATGCTTGACCATGCAGCTGAGAATACATAGGGTGGGGCATTTCTCCCCAGTAGGGTTAGCACCTCACTGCTTTGCGTGAGATTTCCCGCATCCAAACCTACCCTGTGCAGTAGGGAGGTGTGGGAAGAGAGAGAGTGAACAGAGGAAGGCTAAGGAGCAGCAGAAGATAGGCAAGAGGAAGACTGGAAATCCTACTTTCCCTGGGAACTGCCACCTCCCTGGGCGATCCCGGATGTGTCAAAAGTTCTAACATCTCCCTGATACACATGGAGGAGAATATGACCATTTCTCCAGGCCCAAATGGAGAGTTTTGGGGAGGAGAGTGTGACCCCTATTCTTCATAAACCACAGGTACTTCGGAGCCAGCCTTCTTGGATTTGATCCAGCAGTGGGGCCCTGAGCAAATGATCACATCTAAGCTTCATGCTCCTGAGCTGTAAAATGGATCTAATACCAGTGCAAAGACTAGAGTGACTATAAGGATAGGATGACACGATCTGTATAACGTGATTAGAACGCGTGCTCGGGATGTCACAAGCACAATAATTTAATTCCTGGCTGTCATCACTGCCGTCAACAACATCGTACAATGTAATTACAATAGTTCACAGCCTATAGCAAAAGCTTGGTGACTGTCAACTGTCACATCAACCAGTAATCTCAGTAGCTTCTGAATGGAAAATGGAAATGGAAAATGAGAATTTTCTAGCTAGATCTGTAGATTATGTATAAAACACTACAGACAAATCACTACTGCAAACCTTTTAGTGGCTTAACCCAGACTGTTCAATAAGAAATGCATGAATTTCTGCTGTTTTCTCCTTCTGCTGAAAAAAAATATCCCCAAGCAGGTAAGAGCGCACCAAATTGCTTTAAAGCATTTCTTTAGGGGCTGGGAAAATTTGAGATGTAGAAAACACTTTATGGCATGGAAAGCTTGGCAATGAGACAGGCTGAGCTTTTCTAAAAACCATTTCTGTTTCCTGGAAGCTGCTCTGAGAGGAAAGGCCTGGAATGTAGCCCTCCTGCTGGGATGCATGGGAGGAAGCCCTGCAGCCTGTGCTGACAGGCTCGGTCTGCAGAAGATGCCGTGGGGAAGGGGAGTCAGAGTCCCAGAGAGTCCTCCCTAGCCCATGGGTACCCCAGTGGCCATGTTCCAACTGTGCCTGCCAACAGTGACTCAATCCACTTAACAGGCCTGATCAAATTATCTTCTCTCCATGGGTCTTACCATAACAGAAAGTGCACCGCTGAAGTCTCTCTAATGCTGGCATGTCGTCTGCCCCCGAGGGAACCACTATGACTTGGAATGTGCCAGTGTCATCGATCTGCAAGGAACAGAGGCAAAAGAGAGAACTGTTTAGTGGGTAGGTATGCAAGAACTTCCCAGCTCTGTTTGGAGAACTGGGACCTGAAGAGTGGGCAATTCTTCTAAGATGACCGTGGGGAAGGGCAACATGGCAGGGTGGTTAGAGCACTGCTGGGCTTAAACCCCAGCTGTCCCTTTAGCTGTGTGACAAGCTACTTTGCCTCTGTTTCCTCATCTGTAAGATGGCAATACTGTGACAACTACCTAACAGGACACTGTGAGCGTTATTGCAGAGCACTTGCTGGTGCAGGGGGTGCCATGTGGGTCATTGAAAGAGCATAAAGCACCATGGAGCCTGGTGCAGTGGCTCACGCCTGTGATTCCAGCTACCTAAGAGGTAGAGATTTGAAGGATCACAGTTTGTGGCCAGCCTGGGCAAAAAGTAAGATCTCCATCTCAACAAATAAGCCAGGTATGGTGGTGAACACCTGTCATTCCAGACATGCAGGAAGCAAAAGAAGAGTGTGGTCTGAGGCCAGTCCTGGAGCAAAACCACATGACCCTTTCCGAAAAATAAAGCAAAAAAGGGCTGGGGACATGGCTCAAGTGGTAGAACACCTGCCTAGTTAGCATGAGGCCCTGAGTTCAAAGCCCCAAATCCCAATACCAAAAAACAAAGCAAAATAAAAGCATCAAACCCAGAAAGCACTTTCACATCGATTATCTCAACAACCCAGTGAGTTAGTGCTTATGTTCATCACCCCGTCTTACAGACGGGGAAACTGAGGCTCAGAGAAAGGTTATGCAAGTCACTTAAGGAAGAGAATCAGAGACTCCCACATCCCCAGGTCCCACAGAACCCCTGAAATCACAGGCAGCACTTTATAACTGTCTTTGGGTTTCCACTGTGAACTAGGCATTGAAGCTGGCTATGAATACAGCCTCTGAACCACTCCAAAACCCCACAACCTTTTCGCTTTGGACCTGTTATTAGTAATCACCTTGGGGAGCTTGAGGGTGCAGAGTAGGGAGACAAAAAATAAGGTCCTCATAATCAACAATTAGTTTATCGGTTAATTGACTCTGAGATCATTGATAGCTGGAGATGTGTTCCTATCTCATGCCTCAGAGGTGGGTCAGATGACAGTTAAGTTTTCCTTTGTGAATCCTGCTGTTTTCAGCCAAGGGCTCCCTTTGTCCTGAGCAGTCTCTTTCCCACACATTATCCATACAGATAGGACTTTGGTGGTCACATGTACATGGAGTCACACTGTCTCTTTAACCAGAGCCAACTAGACCAGAGAAGGACGTCTGAGCCAGCCAGCTGCGTTCTCAGGAATTTGATAGCAGGGTCCCAAGGAGTGTAAATCTGTATTTAACGACAAGCACTCATAGAGCCATAGGCTGGCCACATTCTGTCTTGTGGACTGAGAAACACGGGAAGTGAGAGGAAGAAAGAAAGGAGGGGCTTTCCTGAGGTTTCTCACTGTTTCTGCCCATTTTTCATTCAGGGGGCAACAGATGGAGAAATCCTGCTGGTCAGATTCCTCTTGGGGCTCCCCATTCTGTCTTAGAGGTGAAGACTCTGGAGTGAACATTGGGACTAAATTGCTAGACATAAATACATAAAGAAAGGAATATACAGTGCCAGGGAAAGACAGGAAGAACCAGAAAGTAGTGAAAGTGAGTATCACGTGTCATAAGAAAAGGGGAAAAACCTTACCACAGGGTAGGACCATAGGGCAGTAGATTAGGGGTGGTGGTGGCCTTACCAGGGACTTTGCCTGGCGGAATGCAGTGACTTGGGTGATGGTGTCCCCTTCTTTATCTTACTGTCTTTGGTCAAGTCTACATTTGCAAGTGGATTCTTTTATTACTATTCCTACAAAATGGTTGGGGGATGGAGGGGGAGAAAAATCAGTTCATCATGAGACTCCACTGTCCTGACTTCTTGAAGACGCACTGCATTTCAAGCCCACTACCACAGCTGGCCCCTCTAGGTACATCATGTGCAGATGGATTCTTTGAGGAAATGCTGAATGGGGTCCAGGTGAGAGGAGAGGACCAAAGGATATCTGTCCATACCTAGGCCCTGTTGGTAAATCCTACTTCAGCTGTGTACACTGGTGTACTTGCACTACCTGAATTAGTTCTGGTGATCTGTAAACAGAGTCTTAGGTAACACACCTGCATGCGTCTGTACACTGAGTAGTTTGCATAGCTGTGGCCTCAGTGTTTCAAGTGACTCCTACCCTTGCTCCATCTGGACTGTGATGAGTGACTGGGTGGGGCAAAGGGCTTATGACCAACTACTGGATCCATGGGAAAAGCTTCACATGGTCCTCGTTAGTAATTTAGGCTAACATTGAGTCATGTATCAACCTATTGGTGTCAAGTTAAAAGCAGTACCATCCTGGTCTGGCACAGTGGTTGATGTCTGTAATCCCAGGCTCTTGGGAGACAGAGATCAGGAGGATCCTGGTTTAAGCAGGACAAAAAGTTGCCCGGGTTGGGCAAAAAGTTGATGAGACCATGTCTCAGCCATCAAGGTGGTCACGGTGGTACATATCTGTAATCCCAGCTATGTGAGAGGCATAGTCTAAAACTGGTCCTGGGCAAAAACACAAGATTCTACATGAAAAACAACTAAAGCAAAAAGGGCTTGAGAATGTGGTTCAAGTGCCAGAGGGCTGATTTAGCAAGTTTGAGTTCAAGCCCAGGTACAGGAAAAAGAAAGAAAAAGAAGTAGTGCCTTACTGGGGAGAGTCCACAGGAAGCCTGTGCTCCCCATACCCCAATAATCTTTTAATCAATAAAGTTTGAAAGATGTGGTTTTAGAGGTCACTCATCCTTATCACTTAATACTGGAGTAACTATAGTAGCATATAACAGAAATATTCCCTAAACTGAATGTGGGCTGGAGATTTAAAATAAAAGGGTCCCATTGTTCACTTTTCTTACTGTGGAGTCAAATAAGTACCAGCTTGGGTAAAAGAATGGCTTTCGTGTAGGCCCATGGACCCAGGGCTCTCAGCTCATGGATCTGGATGAAAACTTCTTGTTCTCTCTAGACACCATGGGGCTCCATAAAAAGGTGCACTCAAGACAAGTATAGTCACTATCATAATATCTTCTCTCTTTAGTTAACTCCATATCAAAAAAGGAAACCCTTTTGAAAGGACTGGGTACACAAAACACCAAGTTTCTCATTAAAAATTCCTTCCCTCCGTAAAAGAAGGAAGTTAAGAAGGTGAATATGGCTGATATACTTTCTATACAAGAATGAATACAGAATTTTCAACCCTGTTGAAATCACCATGAGAAGGGGACTAAGGTAGAAAGGAGAAAAATAGAGGAGATGAATCAATTCAGGTGATAATATATACATATATACATGGAAATGTCACAGTGAAACTCCCTGTGTTGCTATCTTAAACAAACAAAAATGTTATTTTTTTCTTTCTTTTATAAAACTGGAGAATGGAAGGGCAAAACAGGTCCTGCCTGAGGGGGCTGGCAGGGGGGCGGGAGGTGGGGAAAGGGCATGGGAGGGAAGATCTGGTGCACACACCATGTACGCACATATGGAAGTGGAAAAATGACACCTGTCAAAACTGTTCCAGGAATGGGGGAGGGGGGAGGATAAAGGACAGTGGTGGAGGGGGTGAATTCAAGTAGGATATATTGTAAGAACGTCTGTAAATGCCACAATGTACTCCCACCCAGCACAACAATAAAAAAAATTCCATCTCCTGTCTCCCATCACTAGAATCATCTGAATATTAAATCCACACTTAAAGTTGTGCATGGCGGCACACACCTGTTACAAATGCCATCAACCATTTGTATCAGGATATAAAGTTGTCCCTTGTGAATAAATAAAGCCAGTGGATGAGGGTGATACGAGGACCCTGTGTCATCAAAGTCACTTACAGAATTTTTAAGCTGCGACTTCTCATGGCAGCGTCAGTTGTCCAGCCTGGCTCGTCTTTTCTAATTTGTGTGCATTTCCTTTTATGTTGGTTATTGCTTTTGTATAATTCTGAAAGTTCAGAGTAGAATAACAGCTTTAGCTCCTATCCCACCTCCCAGTCTTCATTTTTAGTAAACTGATTTTCACTTAATAGGACCAGGGTACTGATTGGTAATAGTAATACAACTAAAGCTGAGTTATCATTCTCGAGAAATTACTACAGTGCACAGGCATTTAGACACGGCTGCATTATTTAATCTTCACACCACCTCTAGGAATAGCTTTCCTTACTTACAGAGGAGAAAATATATTTCAACTCTGTTCTGCTTATTTCAACCCTTTTTTGGTTTTTTTGGTGGTACTGGGGTTTGAACTTAGGGCCTCGTGCTTGCTAGGCAGGTGCTCTCTCACTTGACCCACACCCCCAGCCCTTTTTGCTTTAGATTATGTTTTAGATAGGGTCTTGCTTTTTTTTGCAAGGCCAACCTAGGACCAAAAGACTCCTATCTAGGCCTCCTGTATAGCTGGGATCACAGACACACGACACCACACCATGTCCAGTTTACTTGTTAAGATGGGGGTCTTGTGAACTTTTTGCCCAGGCTGGCCTTGAACCATAATCTTCCAGAGCTGCTTCTCCTGAGTAACTGGAATTACAGATATGAGTCACTGTGCCTAATTTATTTAAATACTTTCACTGAAAGTTACAGAGCTGGAAAGGAACTCAAAAGACCACTTAATGCTAGCCCCCAGTCTCTAGGAAAGACACAAGTCACGAGGACAGTGAGTGGCTGCGTCTTCACACAAAGATCATGTCTTGAGCACCTGCACTGCATCCACTTAGTCCATGCCCACAGCAAATCTAAATTGCCTTCTGAAAGTTCTTAAACCTAACCTGAAGCTCCCTTGCTTCTCTAATAGGAGGTTTCTGCAAAGTTGGATTTCAGCTACTTTTTTCTAAATCATAGTTTTTCTTCTTCTTGAAGACAATGACTTAGCTGCTGCTTATCTTCCCTTCTCTAAAGTAATAATTTCGAACGGCTGGAGTTTTTATTTGGGATGTGTCTTCTAATACTCTCTTGCTGCTTCCCTGGTCCCTCCCCCTTCATGCTCTGTCTGCACATGGGTGGAAAACCCTGCACCATGCTGGGCCAACATGGCCGATTGGAAGGGAACCTGGCTGGTCAAGCAGGTCCTCCAAGTCCAGTGATGGAGCCACTACTTTTCATTATTGTTGTTGTTGTGCTGGGGGTACACTGCGACATTTACAAAGGTTCTTACAATATGTCATAGTTGAATTCACCCCTCCATCATTCTCCTTTATCCCCTTCCCTCATTCCTGAACAGGTTCAACAGGTCTCATTTTTCCACTTTCATGCAAGTGTACACTGTATTTGTACCATAGTCACCCTCCCACACCCTTTCCCCACCTCCTCCCCCTCCCACTGATGGAGCCAGGGTGTTCTAAGTGACACAGGGACATCTCGATCCCTGGTGGATTATTTAGAATGCTACACATTAAGAATTTAACTCTGACCAAAGTTCAGTATATTCACAGCTGAGCTATATCGAGAGCCCGTTGAGGACTGCCTTTGGAATAAAAAAATAAAGGACAGGACCATAAAGTAGGTCCTGTGGGGGGAGAGAAACTTTGAGAGGGGGAAGTGAAGGGAGAGGATAAAGGAGGGTGAACATGGTGGGCATGCTTTATTTACTTATATGAAATAGAACAATGAAATCTTTTGCAATTGTTTGAAGCAGCTGGGGAGGGGATGGGGGATGAGGGAAGAGATGGCGAGGGTGAACTTAACCAATGTACAAGGTAAGCATATTCAGGAGTGTCAAGATGAGTCACCCCTGTACAACGAATAAACAACAATAATAGAGGTCATAGAAGAGTTTGATCATTGATTTAAGAAAGCATCATTGGAATGGCTTTTTCTTTATAAACTCTACATCATCAGTGAAGTTATAAAATCAATTGGCTTTTATCATACGGCAAGGACTACCACCCTGGCTAAAGGGCATACGTGTGTGTGTGTATTGGTCTGATTTCAGTATCTTCAAACTCAAAAGCAACTCAGTAGCTTGGGGAAGCAGTACCAGAACAAACGTGGGGTCAAGTCCTGACACAGCCACTTCTTAGCTGAGTGGACCTGGATAAGTAGCCTAGCTTCTCCAGGCTCAGCTTTCTGTAAAATGAGAATAACAGGACCAGATGCAGTGGCTCATGTCTGTAATCCCAGCTACTCAGGAGGCAGAGATTAGGAGGATCACAGTTTGAGGCCAGTCTAGGCAAAAGGTTCTCTAGACTCCATCTCAATCAGTAAGCTAGATGTGGCAAGGCATGTCTATAATCCCAGCTATATAGGGAGCCAGAAGTAGGAGGATTGCAGTCTGAGGCCAGCACTCGACAAAAACATGAGACCCTATCTGAAAAATGACTAAAGCAAAAAAGGGCTGGCGAAGTGTCTCAAGTGGTGGAGCACCTGCCTAGCAATAGCAATTGTGAGGCCCTGAGTTCAAACCCCATACTGCCACAAAGAGAGAGAGAGAGAGAGAATGAACACACAACTATCTCCATCCTGTCCAAACTACTTGTGAGAATTGAACAGGATAACGTGTAAAGAAGGCTTAGTGTGCTTGCGGTACATGGTAAGAAATATTTCCTGCCATTCTATTCTGATTTGGAGGTCATGGAAATCCAGTTCCATACTTTCTGCGAGGCGTCTGAACACAGGCAAAATGACTAAGAATTGCAGAGCATAGGACTTGGCCTTCTTACCGCAAAGGCCCGCTTCACGGAGGGCACGTTGCTGAAAGCCACCACGACGGGAACAATGTCAAGGGCACTGAACTCCATGGTGGCCGTGGCGATGGCCTGGGCATCACTTGACTGACCACTGCTGAAAAAGGTGGCGATTCTCCTGGTGTGTGCGCCGGGCAGCGTCCGCTTGAAGACGTTCCTGGAGATGAACCTCATGGCTTTGCCCAGCTCCCTGCCGTCGGGGGACCTCTGGTAAGGAAGAGCCTCGATTTCCCGCAGAAGCTGGTCCTTCTTGTAGGCGTCTGAGAAGCGCACCAGGTGCCGGGCGTGGGTGTCATAGGCCAGGATGGCCACGCGGGCGCCCACGGGGCAGCTGCTCTCCCGAACTCTGACATCCCTCACCAGGGAGGCCACCATCCCCTTCATCCGCTCAAATTCCTGCTCGGTGACATCCCGGGACTGGTCCAAGGCAAACACCAGCTCAGTTGGATGCACCGGGCATTCAGGTTTCCCTAAAAGACAGCGGCATCCTCTTATTGCAAGCATGCTTACTTAAAAAAGAGCGAGAAAGCAAAGTAACTTTAAATGTTAGCCATCCAAATATTTAAACATTAAATGATCGCTTAGATAGTAAAATATAAAACATTCAGCATTTAAATCTTGAATAATGAAAAACACTATTCTACAAAGTCTGCTCTTTTGAGCCCCACATAAAAAAAAAAAGTGTGGGGTTCGGTGGGACTTGTTAGGACATTTGTGAATTAATTACCAAAGTCCCTCCAAACAGCACAGAACTACAAAGATGGAGTCAAAGGCACCGTGTTTTGTGGCTATGACTTCAGCCAAGCTAAAACCTACTTTTTAAAATTTAATGTGAAAAAATTTAAATTAAAAAGGAACAGCTATGGGAGCTCCTTAGATACTTGCAGAAAAGCTGGAAGACAGCAGACCTGGAGGATGGGGAAGAGAGTGAGAGAGAAAGAAAAGAAGAAACAAGCTTAGGGCTTCAGAACAGACCCAAATATGAGCTATGTGGCCAGTCCAGATTGCTATCCTTAGTGGTCTGCAGTAGTTTTGTTTTGTTTTGGTGGTACTCGAGTTTGAACTCAGGGCCTTGTGCTTGCTAAGCAAGGGGGTCTTGCAAACTACTTGCCTGGGCTGACCTCGAACTTCGATCCTCTCTGATCTCAGCCTCCTAAGTAGCTAGGATTACAGGCATGAGCCTCTGGCGCCCTGTTAGTTTCTTTTATGTAAAAAGTGAGTCATACTGTCACAGGCCTGTCATGAGATCTAAATGAGCCAACACGGGTAAAGAACTGAGCGCCTGGCACATAGCAGATACCGGTCATCATTGTTATTAGAGTCTCCCATTGTGAGGAAGAACATGAAGCTTTAACCAATAAATTTTTAACAGGTAAAATCCAAGTTAATAAAGGTGCCCTAGAATATTTAAGGCCTATTTGATATTTATTATTAGAGTGATAGAAACTTTACATAGAGAAATCTTGAATTCTGCTTATTGGATGCTAATGGTTCTTGTGTCCTTATTCAGGTGGCAATTCATTCATTTGATCCCAATACCCTGTATTTATCACAGTTGGCCACCTATACTCAGTCATGTAGTCCATGTCTCTCCCTCTCATTTCTGATGGACAGAGAGGGACGGTGCCTCTGTTGACCTTCCAGGATAAGTCCCTGTCCTGTACAGATGTGTGGTAAATGTTGAATGATTGAAAAAAGCTGAAGAAGAGCAGTTCTTGGCAACAGGCCCAGGAAGACCAAAGCTTGAATGACATGTCAGATACCAAGTTTGGGGATATAGGTTGGTAAGACGACCCTGGGGATGTGTTTTCCTTGGGTGGGTTTCTCTTATCACCCCTCAGGACACAGGGCGCTGTCAGTTCCTAGGAAATGCCTAGCTAGGTCTCTCTTGTTTTATGGCCTTGTACTTGGAGTTCCCTGCCTCACCCGACTCTTGCAAAACTGTGGTTCCTTCAGCCACACTCCAAGTTCACTGCCTCAAAGAACTCCTGTCCCCATACATCTCCCTTCCAGGTCATCCTGTGTAGGGGCGGCCTACGCTTTTCCTCCTTCACAGCACTGAACTCTTTCATTGTTGATTTAATATTTAGATCCTCCATGAGACTAGAAGTTTCTAAGGACAGGAATCTTGTCTGTTAGTCTACTCTGTGTCCCCAGTGCCTTTACAGAGACCGGCAGGTAGTAGACTTTCAATAGATGTTGAATGAACGCATAGGCAATCAGAGGACAGGGTTTATATAAAAATGATAAGGGTGTAAATGTGTTTCAGATGGTGAGAGTTTAGACAAAACATCATGCAAGAAGCATTTGCAAAATACTTGAAAAGAAACAAAAAAGTCAAATCCTTGACAATTAGCGCTGGAAGGTGTTAAGCCAAGTTGGTAATTAACAGCAAGCATGACCTACATAGGAGTCAGCATTATCTGAACTGCACATTCGGATTGCTTGCTGTCTGACCATTCCTGTTTATTCATCACAGATCTTAAACACTGAACTAGAGCAAGGATAAAACAGAGGAAGAATGAGAGAGAGGCAGGGAGGGAAAGAGATGGAGAGGAAGGGGGAAGAGGAGGGAGAGGAGCAAGGAAGAGGGAGAAGGGGAAAGAGGAGAAAAGAGGAAGGAAAGGGAGGTGGGAAAAGGGAGGTGGGGAAGAAGGGAAGTGGGGAAGGAGGGAGGTGAAGAGGGAGGTAAAGATGGAGATAGGCAGGGAGGAAGGGGGAGAGAGTGGGTGAGAGAGGGAAGAAGAGAGAAGAAATATTATTACAAAAAAACTAACAAAGTGACTAAGGATGTTAGTCATTAAACTATTATTAATAATAAAAAGGTCTTGATTTTGAGAAAGAGCTGTGAGGCTCAGTTGAGGCTGAGTGCATTTCTGGAGACCAGCCTCCCCTGCTAGTTTCAGACCACTAAGAAAGCCAGGGTAAAATTTCTCTCACTTGGTAGCCATGCACTGCTTAAGCTTATCTTTCCACATTTTGGAACTTGAGTAAAACATGCCATAAGAAAACATTACTCACCATGTCCACCAGCTGGGAAGAAGAAACAAAGAGACTGGGTTACTGTTTGTAGGTGACTAGTGTTCTGCATTGTGAAGGAAAATCACAGCGGCCCTGCCTGCTGCTGTAGTGAATCAAAAATCAAGGTGACATATTGGGTTGGTGACAAAGCCAGCATCCAGATAAGAGCACTGTCCCTCCTACAGGAATTAGGATGGGAGAAGAAGTGGGACCGTAGGCCATAAATCAGCAGCCTGGGACAGAGCAGCTCTGCCTGGGAGGGACCGTGATCCTAGAAAGGATACTGTTCTGTTTTGAGCCCATCACGGTCCATCCACTACAACACTGCTTTCAAAGCTTTTAAAAGTCTGTGTCTTCCAGAACAGTAGCCAATATGTCACCTTGTCACCCCCAAGTGCCTTGAGAGAACTGTAGATTCTTCCTTTGAGTCATAGTGCTTATTTGGGAAGAATTATACATGCGTAAAGGAACAGTCAATATGATGACATAGAAATACAATATTAATAAACTAGTATACTGCAAAATTACAATAGTAGAAGAGGCTGTTTTAAAGGTCTTTAATTCCAAATAGCATCTGCAAACTCAAAATGCCTTTTAAAACTTTGAGAGAGGAAAAAAAATACTGGCAGAATAAGCATTATGAGTTTTATAAGCAAACCAATCAGTCCAAATAAAAGTAATCAAATTGATCTCTCCAGAAAAGGAGTAATAAACCCAAGGAGGCAGTCAGGACTCCCACCCATAAGGACACCCTGTTAGCATGGTTGCCTCTTCAGGCCAGTGAATTCAAACCTATCAGCTACATAAAGTTTGGGGCGACTACCCCTGATTGATATCACCAGTAGGAAAGTCCTGACCTCAAATCTCCATTTTCCCCAGGTTCAAAGCACGAGATATATTACTGCTCTGTGCTCAAACAGGTTCCAGTAAGGCCCCTAGGCAGCCTGAGAGTTAATGTCACAGTCCATGTGGACTCCAAATGTATCCAGTGACATCTCTCATTTTAAGAAATTGGTCGGTCAATTGTCACAGCTTTCTCTGCACCCCTTCTAGAAGAGCTGACCACTGGGCAAGCATTTTAAGCAGGGTACTTACGGCTGTGATCCCGCACATACTGAATGGTCACAAGTCTGCAATTCAAAAACAAGACACAGAGAATTAGCCACAGAGCCCTAGTCACAAAAGCTTATGATAATCGTGTCGCAGAGAGGTCACGCACTGTTGGCATCAAAGATACGTACGGAAAATGAAGTCAGTCCTCTGGCCCCTTTCACACCCTAGGAGGGAGACAAGCAAAAACTGTTTAGGGCTTTGGCACAGCATTGGGAGCCAGCACACACTGATGTTGCCTGGAGAAGTGCTGCTTTAAAGAATTTTATTCCTATTAAATTAGAGAGAACCAAGGGCCAGGCAGGACCCACGACTTAGGTTTTGTGCCCAGGGACACACCTAAGCAGCTAGCCTGATGCCCCATTCTAGCACCGACCTTCCCAGGTGCCATCCCTGGACCACACGGTTGTCCAGAACCTAAAGGACAGAGCTGTCAACTTGATTCTGGCAAGCAGAGCCCTGAGCAGATCTAAAGGCCACTGCTGCTCCATCCGATGCCACGCTGCCCCTCCTTGTGGGTGGGGTTCTTCATCCCCGTCTGAGCAAGCAGACTTGAACCCCAGTCCTTCCACTGTGGGTTGGATGGACAAAGGGACCAC